AGAGCTGCTTCGGTCTGGAGTTGATATCTTTGCTCTTGACTATGATGCTATCCTTGCTACCATGTATGCATTGTCTGTTACTGCTGAAGGTGACTGTTACCGGTGTGTGCCTCCCGACCCAGGTATAGAGGGTGCTTCTCTAGGTGCTAGTGAGTCTGCTCTCCCTGGTACTGCGCCTGCTGAGGCCTTGCACACCTTTACACTTGACTCAGGTGCTTCCCGCTGTTTCTTTCGCGATAGTACTACCCTCACTACTCTCTCTGCACCTTTACCAGTCAGAATGGCTGACCCCCAAGGGGGCCTAGTTCTTGCCCGTTCCTCTACTGTTCTCTCGTGTCCAGCGGTTCCGTCTGGCTCACTCTCAGGTCTTCACCTCCCCTCGTTCTCTACGAACTCGGTGAGTACCACTACCCTCCAGGATGCGATGGTCACTACCACCATTTCTGGGGGTCAGCGTGTGTCGATCTGCACGTGTACACGGACGGGCCGTCACCTGGCCACGTTAACCGTCGACCTGGGTCAAGTGTGTACACACTGACTACCGAGCCTCCTCAGGTAGCTACGTCTGCTCAAGTGTCCGCGTTAGGTCCAGTAGCAGCCCCCTGCTCGTGTCGCCTCCTGTCGCACCAGACTCTCCTGTGGCACCACCGCCTTGGTCACCCCTCCCTGCCACGCCTTCGTGGCATGCACTCCTGCCTCCTTGTTTCTGGTCTTCTCAGGTCTCTGCCTTCCCTCTCGCCCTCGCCTGCCCCGCCCTGCCTTCCTTGCGTTGAGGGGCGGCAGCGCGCCGCTCCTCACTCCTCTTCGTTTCCCCCGACGACTGCTCCTCTGCAGACTCTCCACATGGACGTGTGGGGCCCAGCCCGCGTCAGTGGATAGGACCGCGAGCGCTACTTCTTGCTGGTTGTTGCCGACTACATGCGTTACACCACGGTCTTCCCCTTGCACAGCAAGGGTGAGGTCCCTGATCTCTTGGTCCCTTGGATCCGTGCAGTCCGTCTCCAGCTCCGCGAGGGGTTTCGCGAGGACCTTCCTGTCCTGCGTCTGCACTCTGACAGAGGTAGTGAGTTCTCCTTCGACCTCTTGCGGGACTTTTGTTGTGAGGAGGGCATCCTCCAATCGTTCACGCTTCAGGCCTCCCCGCAACAAAATGGGATTGCTGAGCACCGCATTGGCTTAGTCATGGAGGTGGCTCGTACCTCCATGATCCATGCGGCTGCTCCCCATTTTCTGTGGCCGTTTGCGGTCCGGTACGCTGCGCATCAGCTCAACCTCTGGCCCCGTGTCTCTCGTGCCTTTGTCCGCGATACTTCCGCGGACAAGCTCTCCTCCCGCGCTATTCCCTGCGTCTTCCTTGGCTTTCCCCCTGACGCGCCTGGCTAACAGTTTTACCACCTCACCTCGCGCCGTATCCTTCCTTCTCAATACGTCACGTTTGATGAGTCGGTTCCCTTTTACCGTCTCTTCCCCTACCGCACTGCCCCTCCCCCCCCCGGCCGCTCTTCCTTGCTCAAGGTCCCCCTCCGGTAGACCCCCTCCCCCCTCAGGGTCCTGCTCCGTCAGGTGTGTCTCACGTAGACCCACTCCCCGGGACTGTGCCTGCCAGAGTCGCTGTAGACTCAGGTGCTGCTAGAGGTGCTGAGTCTGGGGGTGTTGCGTCTGGGGGTGCTAAGACTGCAAGTGCGGGGCCTGGGGGTGCTGAGGCTGAGGGTGCGGAGCCTGGGGGTGCTGAGTCTGAGGTTGCAGTGTCTGGGGGTGCTGAGCCTTGGGGTGCGGAGCCTGGGGGTGCTGAGCCTGAGGGTGCGGAGCCTGGGGTTGCTGGGTCTGAGGGTGCGGAGTCTGGGGGTGCTGAGCATAGGGGTACTGCGTGTGATGAAGGTCCTGCAAGTGCCTCACCACGAGTGTCTCCCCGGCGGGAGCCTCTCTCACCGCCGCCGACGTCGTCTCTGCCGCCACCTGACTCGGTCCTTCGCCAGGTTCTTAGTCTCCTGTCTTCTACTGGCCTTTCCCTTAGCTTACTGAGTCCACTGCCTCACCAGTCGCAGCCACAATTACAGCCAGACTCCCCACTGCCTGCTCCTTCTCCTTACGCTTAGCAGACATAATCTCTTACAGAGTGTCATGAGCCTGCGTCTCGTCCTGCCTCGCCTGTTCGTGCTGTTCGCACTGGTCGTCGTGTTCCTCGTCCGCTTCCTCCTCCTGTCCTCGGCACGCACCATATGGCACTTCGTCCTTCCTCTGTTCCACTGCGAGTTCCTCTGTCGCCTCCTCCTGAGTCCTCTCTTCCTGCCATTCCTGACCCTGAGTCTGACTTGACTCGTGTTGCCAGTCCTAATGTCTCTCGTCTTCTAGCCACTGTTTTCAATGACCCTTCGTTTGAGTCCACTTCTGCGTCTGCCCTAGTTGCTGAGCTTGTCGAATTTGCTGTCGCCTGTCGTCTCGACTACGCCACTAGTCTTGTTGCTGAGTCTGAGTATGACTGTCCTCCGTCCGTCGGGGGTGAGTGTGCTCTTGGCACGGACGTCTTTGAGGACTGGCAAAAGGACTTTGAGTGTCTTGCAGCTGCGGTACCTCATCTCGTGGCCATGCTGCTTGCACCTGAGGGAGACCCGGATGCACCAGACATCCCGACCCCGCGTTCTTACGCAGAGGCGATTACGGGTCCCTACTCCTCTCAGTGGCAGACAACCATGGACGCAGATATGGCATCCTGGAAGTCCACAGGCACCTACGTCGATGCAGTTCCCCCTTCTAGGGCAAACATAGTCGATGGCATGTGGATTTTCAGGGTGAAGCGGCCACCGGGTTCTCCGCCTGTCTTCAAGGCTCGTTACATTGCACGAGGCTTCAGTCAGCGACAGGGAGTTTACTTCTTCCAGACCTTCTCCCCTACCCCAAAGATGACCACTCTTTGGGTGTTGCTGCACTCTCTTGACTTCAGCACAGCTTTCTTGCAGGGCAGCCTGCACGAGGAGATCTGGCTGCGCCGCGCACCATGCTTCACTGGGTCGTTTCTTGCTTGTACCCAGTGGAGCCTCCGCCGACCAGTCTACGGTCTCCGCCAGGCGCCTCACGAGTGGAACGAGTGGCCCACCGGTCACTCGCTCTCAGCTCCACCTTCGGACGAGTCCATAGAGCCGAGTGGCCCGTATCCAGAACTTGTGGGCTGCCTCATGTACCTGATGACCTGCACTCGACCCGACCTTGCCTACCCTCTTAGCATCCTGGCACGCTACGTTGTGCCCGGGAGACACCGACCAGAGCACTGGGAGGCCGCTAAGAGGGTGTTACGCTACTTGTGCAGTACTTCGGGCATGGGGCTCGTGCTTGGAGGACGCGGTCTAGTTGTCCTCACTGGACATGCAGACGCTTCTTGGGTTGACGACTTGGCTACGCAGCGGTCGTCATAGGGTTACACCTTCAGCCTTGGCTCCGGCTCTGTTTCCTGGCGGTCTACCCGTTCGTCTTCTATTCTCAGTTCCAGTTGTGAGGCTGAGATCTACACAGGGGCCATGGCTGCACAAGAGTTACGCTGGCTCACCTACCTGCTGACCGACTTGGGAGACCGGCCTCGTTCTTCTCCAGTTCTGTACGTAGACAACAAGGCCATGATTGTCTTATGTCAGGAGCACAGACTGGAGCACAGAACGAAGCACATTGCTCTGCGTTACTTCCTTGCTCGAGAGTTGCAGCAGCGTGGTCAGCTTTGTCTTGCTTACGTGGCCACTAGGGCCAACACTGCTGATATACTCACCAACGCACTTCAGTCTTGTGATCATCAGCGTTTCTGTACTGTTTTAGGCCTTGTGCCTACTTTGCCTCACTTGCTCACTGCGTGACTTTGCTTGTATTGTGATTTATATATATACCTGCATGCTTACACTTGCTAGGGTATGATCACTATACTGTTTGTTCTCTTTTATATAACTCTGCATGTGAACTGGCCTTGTGGCCATTTGCTTGTGCCCGGAATGTGTGGTGACTTCGTGGTCCACCCTGAGCTTGCTTTGCTTTTCTTGACTGGTCTTGTGACCATTTGTTCTCCCCCACTTTGCCTATGGGGGTGTGTGAAAATGTTATAGTGCTTACATTCTGTAGGCTGTAGTGGGGTAGCCCATAAGGGATACAACCCAATTAGGGCTAGTACTTGTACCCAACATTCTATTCAATCCAACCATTCTCGTTCAGTATTCTGACAGGTTGTGCCTTGCCTACACAACTTCAACCATTGAGAAGAATGAGGCCGAGTCAAACTGTGTATTGTGGTGGCTTCCTATTGTGTTTGTTTAATTCAGTGTATAGATTGCTCGCAAGGTTGCGTCACAGTTTTGAGATGTCTAAAAAAACGCTGGATGTTTTGCTCTGATGCATTGCATGCTTTCGTTCAAATTCCACCTGTATGCTACCAGTATGTGGGTCCTGGCTTAGTATACTACAGTATCAGTGCAAAACCTAGTGTTGTAAACTGCATTTAGCTTTACAGACATTGATGGCACAAAAACTAAGGGTACATTCCGCTGTGGACACTGTCCCAATCGATGTGTCCCAATCGATTGTGACGCGTACGTACAGCATATGCTGCCAGGTGTCAGAATGCCGGGCCGCCCGTGGTTGTCGCCAAATGTATTTATCATTGGGGGACGTGAAACACGGAGCAGTCGCCAGCTAATTGCAACACAATCCATCAGTCGCACGCGGTGCCAAATGTCAACACATGCAGCATGTATCTAGACGACATCTCCCCAAAACCCACTATCCCCATCAACGCGTACACTGCGTAGTGATTGGTCCAGACGACACACCCGGGATTATTGACAGGGACGCGCACGTCCCCGCCAGCGCGCCTTCCCCCAGCTCCAATGCTCCTTCCCCACAACTCCTCCACCTCCCAACACCTTGCGGGTTCATCTTCGTGCACCATCCTTCCTGTTCCAATCTGTTCATTTCTCTCTGCTCCCGCTCCCTAAAGATCTAGATCTAGAAGCACTCTATTTGCCAGCATGGCTCGTAAGCGTAAGGGGCAGGCCCTTAACGACTGCCCCAAGGATCTTGACGACATCCCTTACATCCGCTGGATGAACCAGCAGATCGCCAACGGGCGCCATCCGAAGGGATTATCCGCGCCGCCCGTGCTTGACGGCCAGGGATCCACTGCACAATCGCCCAGTGCGGCCATGTCACGTGTGCGTCGTCAGCCTGCAAGGACGGCTGCAACACACCGGCTTGTCGTAGAGCAAGATGCGTACGATGACGATGATGACGACCCCGAACAAGGCCTCGACACCGACGACGACGAGGAGGAACTGGAAGACGCTGGGATGTCGCCTAGCGACGGCGACGACGAAGATGAGGACGCCGAGGACGACGCGGAGGAGGAAGCACAACCTGTGTCTGTGACTACGAAACGGAGCGCCGCACGCGCATCTGGGACGAACAAAGGCAAAGGCAAGGCGGCGCCACCACCGCCACGCCAGGAGCCACGGAAGAAGCGGTCGGCTGCACCAGTCGAGAGGGGCTTATGGTCGGACAAGGAGAGCACCATATTCGCCGCGGCGAAGTGGTTCATGAAAGAGGAGCTCGAGCCTCTCAAGGGGAAGCAGGGGACGCAATACTGGGTCCGACTACTCGCGCACATCAAGGAGTCGAACCCTGGATGGTGCAGGGGTGTCAACGCGTTGCAGAAGCAGTGGCGTAACTTGACGCTCCTCTGGCGGGAGTACAAGCGTGGCGACGGGGGGTCAGGCCTCGGCTCGGTTGAGAAACCACCGTGGTATCCGTACCTGGAGCTGCACAACCAGGACACCGCCGCAGCCGCACCGCATGCGGTGGACGGCGGCGGCGCCACGGACGTCAACGTGCCGGCCGGCACGGAGGTTCCAAGTTCGTCTCAGCTAGGCACGTCAATCTGAAGAATGAGGAAAAATGAATGAATTAGGAAAGAGGTGGGTACAAGTAGGAAAACCTAGAAGTGTTGTACCCCATATTGTCTACCCCACTACAGCCTACACAGACTATAGCATATAAGTTTGACACACCCCCATAGGCAAAGTGGGGGAGAACAAGAGGTCACAAGACCAGTCAAGCAAAGCAAAGCAAGCTCAGGGTGGATCACAATGTCACCACACAATCCGAGCACAAGAGCAAGGCCAAAAGGCCAGTTCACATGCAAGATCATATATAAAGGTAAACAGGCAAGTGCAGGTATAGAAAGATCACAGTACAAGCAAGGTCAAGAAGTGAGCAAGTGAGGCCAAGTAGGCACAAGACCTAGCATCGTACAGAAGCGCTGATGATCACCAGGCGGAAGTGCCTTGGTAAAGATATCAGCAGTGTTGGCCTCAGAGGCCACGTAAGCAAGACGCAGCTGACCACGCTGCTGCAGCTCACGAGCAAGGAAGTAGCGAAGAGCAATGTGCTTCGTTCTGTGCTCCAGTCTGTGCTCCCGACACAAGGCCAGCATGGCCTTGTTGTCTACGTACAGAACTGGAGGAGAACCAGGCGCCTCTCCTAGGTCAGTCAGCAGGTAGGTGAGCCAGCGTAGCTCCTGTGCAGCCATGGCCCCCGCGTAGATCTCAGCCTCACAGCTGGAGCCGAGAACAGAGGACGAGCGGGTAGACCGCCACGAAACAGAACCGGAGCCAAGGCTGAAGGTGTAACCCTGTGACGACCGCTGCGTAGCCTGGTCGTCAGCCCAAGAAGCGTCTGCGTGACCTGTGAGGACCACTCGACGTCGCCCTCCAAGCACTAGCCCCATGCCCGACGTACTGCACAAGTAGCGCAACACCCTCTTCGCTGCAGCCATGTGCTCTGGTCGGTGTCTCCCAGGAGCAACATAGAGTGCCAAGATGCTAAGAGGGTATGCAAGGTCAGGTCGTGTGCAGGTCATCAGGTACATGAGGCAGCCAACAAGCTCTGGGTACGGGCCACTCGGCTCTACGGACTCATCCGAAGGCAGAGCTGAGAGCGAGTGGCGAGTAGACAGAGGAGTGGCCTGAGGCGAGGAGTACGTGAAGTCGAAGCGCTGAAGGACCTGCTGCACCATGTGTGACTGAGTCGGGGTAATGGTGCGCTGTGCTCTGTCCCGGGTGATCTGCAAGCCAAGGTAGCTGCGCAGTTCACCCAGGTCTGTGCACGTGTGTCTCTTCTGCAGCTCGGACTTCACGTGGGCGAGTCCAGCAGTGTCAGCTGTGGCAAAGACCAAGTCGTCGACGTACACGAGGATGTAGAACGGCGGCAGAGAGGTGTCGGTGCGCAGAAACAGCGACGGGTCGGCTGTAGAAGGAGCAAACCCAAGAGCCGCAAGTGTAGTCCTCAGTGTGTCGTGCCACTCACGGGGCGCCTGGCGGAGACCGTAGACTGGCCGCCGGAGGCTCCACTGGGTACCAGGAGGAAACGACCCAGTGAAGCCAGGTGGGCGGCGCAGCCAGATCTCCTCGTGAAGGCCGCCCTGCAGGAAAGCAGTGCTGAAGTCAAGAGTGTGAAGCTCGTAGTCGCGCTGAGCGGCTATGTGTAGCAGCACCCAAAGAGTGGTCATCTTCGGGGTGGGAGAGAAGGTCTGAAAGTAGTCAACTCCCTGCCTCTGACTGAAGCCTCGAGCCACGTAACGCGCCTTGAAGACAGGCGGAGAACCCGGCGGCCGCTTCACCCTGAAAATCCACATGCCACTGACGATGTTCGCCCCAGGTGGGGGAACCTCGTCGACGTAGGTGCCTGTGGACTTCCAGGAAGCCATCTCTGCGTCCATGGCTGACTGCCACTGAGAGGAGTAGGGACCCTCGATCGCCTCAGCGTACGATCGAGGAGTCGGGATGTCTGGTGCATCCGGGTCTCCCTCAGGGGCAATCAGCGTGGACACGAGATGAGGCAAAGTAGCCGCAAAACACTGGAACTCCTCCTGCTAAGAGCACACTCACCCCCAACGGACGAAGGACAGACAGACTCAGACCCAGCAACAAGACTAGTAGCGTAGTCCAGACGACAGCGAGCAGCGAAGTCGACAAGCTCAGCAACAAGGGCCGACGCAGCAGTGGACTCAAAGGAAGGGTCAGTGACAACAGTAGTCAGGAGACGCGTGACAGTAGGACTGGCAGCACGAAGAGAGTCAGACGCCGGGTCAGCAAGAACAGGAAGAGAGGACTCTGGAGGAGACGGCAACGGGACACGCAGAGGAGCAGTGGAAGGACGCAGTGCCATCTGGTGTGTGCCTGGGACGGCAGGAGGACGCGGACGCGGAGCGCGACCACTAGTGCGAGCAGCACGAATAGGTGACGCAGGACGAGACGCAGGCTCACGACGCTCAGCAAGACCTCCAGTAGGACAAGTGTAGGGAGAGGGAGCAGGTAGGGGAGAGGCGGGCTGGAACTGTGACTGCGACTGGACAGGCTGTGGACACTCTAAGGGAGGAGCAGGACCAGTAGAGGGCGGGAGACCAAGAACCTGCTCAAGGAGCGGAACGAAGTACGGCCTCGGCCGCGCAGCGCCTCCAGAACCAGCAGGGACAGCACTAGTACCCCCAGCGGCAGCACCAGCGCCAGCAGCACCTCCAGCTCCAACAGCGCCAACTCCAGCACCCTCACACGCACCAGCGCCAGCAGAACTACCAGCGCCAGCACCCCCAGTAGCTCCAGCTCCAGCAGCTCTAGTAGCACCAGCAGCACCAACTCCAGCAGGACCAGCAGCTCCAGCACCGCCAGCAGCTCCAGCAGTACCTCCAGCAGGACCAACTCCAGCAGCCCCAGCAGCACCTGTAGTCCCAGCAGCTCCAGTACCGCCAGTACGAGCACCTCCGGGACCAGCAGCAACAGTAGTACCTCCAGCTCCAGCAGCACGGCTCCAGCGCCGGGCAAACCACTCGCGCAGCTCCTGCGGAGAGAGTAGCTCCCGTCTCGACGAAGCACCGCGAGAGGCCACACGAGCAGACCGAGCACCCCCAGGCTCCGCACCCCCAGGCTCAGCACCCCCCGGCTCCGCACCCCCAGGCTCAGCACCCCCAGACTCAGCACCCCCAGGCTCAGCACCCCCAGGCTCCGCACCCCTGGACTCAGCACCCCCAGACCCGGCACCCGCAGGCTCAGCACCTCTAGCAGTACCAGAGTCAACAGCTACCTCGACAGGCTCGACTGCGTCTACCTGGGACACACCTGACGGGGTAGGACCCTGAGGGGGGAGGGGGTCTACCGGGGGAGGACCTGGCGCAAGGAAGAGCGGCGGCGGGGGGAGGGGCGCAGTGCGGTAGGGGAAGAGACGGTAGTAAGGCACCGACTCGTCAAAGGTGACGTCCTGGGAGGACAGAACACGGCGCGAGGTGGGGTGGTAAAACTGCCATCCAGGTGCGTCAGGGGGGAAGCCAAGGAAGACGCAGGGAACAGCACGGGGGGACAGCTTGTCCGCAGACAAGTCGCGGACAAACGCCCGAGATCCCCAGACCCGAAACGCAGACGCATCGCCAACCTTCCCGGTCCACCGCAAGGTGGGGGAGGTCTCTGGCAAGGAGACCCGGGGCTGAAGGTTGAGCTGATGCGCTGCGTACTGAACCGCAAACGGCCACAGAAAATGGGGGGCAGCCGCATGGATCATGGACGTACGAGCGACGTCCATGACCATGCCAATGCGGCGCTCAGCAATCCCATTTTGCTGTGGAGAGGCCGGAAGCGTGAAGGTCTGGCGGATGCCTTGTGCACGTCAGAAGGCTCCCAGACGGGCAGAGGAAAACTCCCCGCCTCTGTCAGAGTGCAGACGCAGAACAGGAAAGTCCGAGCCGAAACTCTCTCTGAGCTGGAGACGAGCTGCGCGGATCCAGTCGATCAACACCTCAGTGACGTCACCCTTGCTGCGCAAGGGGAACACCGTGGTGTCACACGAGTAGTCGTCAACCACCAACAGGAAGTAACGCTCGTGACCCTGGCCACGGACGCGGGCGGGGCCCCACTCGTCCATGTGAAGAGTCTGCAGTGGAGCCTCTGTCGGAGGAAACTCGGAGGAGTGAGGGGCGGCGCGCTGTCGCCCCTCGACGCAGGGGACGTAGGTAGGGGCAGGCCCCTGAGGTAGGGGAGGTAGGGACCGGGGGAGACCAGAGACAAGGACACGGGAGGCCATGCCTCGGAGACGAGGCAGTGAGGGGTGACCAAGGCAGTGGTGCCAGAGGAGAGTCTGGTGGGACAGGAGACGACACGAGCAGGGCGCGGACTCAGGACCAGACCTGGACGCTGCAGCAAACACCTGACTCGACGCAGCTACCTGACCAGACTCAGTAACCGGAGGAGACTCAGTAGTCAGTGTGTACAGGCTCAACCCCGGCCGACTGGTAAACGTGGCCAAGTGTCGGCCCGTCCGAGCACACGTGCAGTGGGTCACCCGCTGACTCGCAGGAGTGAACTGGTCAACCCCCTTATCCTGTAGATCAGCTCCACTCACCAAGTTCGTAGAGAACAAGGGGAGGTAGAGACCTGACAGGGTGCCAGAGGGGGCTGCCGGGCACGGTAAGACAGTGGAGAAGCTAGCAAGGACAGGACCCCCAGAGGGGTCCGCCAGGGAGACCGCAACCGGCCGACTAAGCGGCGTAAGCGTGGTGCGGTCTCGAAAGAAGGAGCGGGAAGCACCCGAGTCAAGGGTGAAGGTGTGGAAGGCCTGAGCCGACGTGGTACCTGAGAGAGCAGACTCACCAGCACCTGGAGCAGCAGACGCACTAGCACCTAGAGCAGCAGTCTCACCAGCACCTAGAGCAGCAGCCTCAATGCCCGGGTCAGGCGGAAGACACAGGTAACAGTCACCCTCATCACTAGTAGACACAGCATACATGGCAGCAAGAATAGCATCATAATCAAGATCAAAGATAGCAACCCCCGCCCGAGACAGCTCTCCCCAGCGAGGGATCTCAGTGGCGTCAGGGAACTGGTGACGCCACGCGTCCGTCAGGCGGCCGAAGCAGCGCTGGGTGGAGTGCGGGCCCCCGCACTGCTCACCAGCGTGGTCGCCGGTACGGAGGACGTAGGTGCAGGGACCAGTACCCCCACCTCGCTGACGCCCAGCGTACCACTCACGAAGCTGCTGGGGGGACGGGGTCTCACGACTGCGCTGCTGCTGCTGGCGCTGACCACCACCGGAGCCACTCCTCTGCGCAAAGCCGCGACCAGCTCCACCGCTGCCTCCGCCGCCTCCGCCACCTCCGCCGCCTCCGCCACCTCCGCCGCCTCCGCTCCCTCCGCCACCGCCGCCGCCTCCTCCGCCTCCACTGCTGCCGCCGACACCTCCACCCCCGCCACCACTCCCACCACCACCCCCACCCCCTCCACTGCCTCCACCACCACCTCCACCGCCCCCGCCAGCCCCTCCAGCGCCCTTGTCCCCCTTGCCCTTGCCGGTGCGGCGTCTCCTGCTAGGGGCAGACGCAGCGCCGACCGACTCGAAACCACCGAGGTCGGCCGCAGCAGCAGAAGCAACAGAGGGCAAGAGGGGGGAGGGGGAACACCCCTCAAAGACGGGGGTGCGAGGGTCACCACGAGAGGCTCCTACAGTGACTATGCTCATCTCTGCTGCTAGGAGGCGCTCCTCGAGGAGGTCAACGGTGAGTGTGGTGGGGCAAACTGAGAGGAAGTGGTCCCTGACTAAGCGAAGGGAGTCAGGGAGCCGGGTGACTATGTAGTAGAGGGTGAGGTACATGGGGGGGGGGTTCTTGGCACAGAACTCAGCAGGAAGCGCAGCGCAGTAGCGAGTCTCACTAGTGCGAAGGTGCGTAATGAGGTCAGCGACTGTGGGAAAGGCAGCAAGGTCAGGGAACAGGTACGGCAGCATGAGGCGGCTAAGCGCAGCAGTGGCAGGGGAGGAGTAGCGTGCAACTACAGCGTCGTACAAGGTCTGAGCACTCTTGTACTGGCTAAAGTGTGCACGCTCAGTGGTCGGTAAGTGGCGACGCACAGCAAGACGGGCAGCAGCATCGCGTGTGGCCCACTGTGAGCGAACAGTGCTGTCAGCAGCAGCAGGCGGGGCAGGAGAGGCACCAGATGTGAGATCGAACAGGGAGAGCCCGTCAGCCCTATCGCACTGTAGGAACAGCTGGAGGTCATCGACCCAGACCTCAAAGTCAACAGCACGACCCTCAGCATCAAAGGTAAGGACACTGGGGGTAGCCATGACTGCAGTGGCCTAGCAGGGAGGGATCTCACCAGTCCGAGTAAGTAGGGCCGAGGCGCGCCGGTAGGAACAGTAGCAGCTCAGCGGCAGGGCGGCTCGGCGGCTCGGCTGCGAGGCGGCTCGGCGGCTCGGTTGCTGGGCGGCTCGGCTGCTCGGTGACTCGGCTGCTGGGCGGCTCGGCGGCTCGGCTGTTGGGCGGCTCGGCTGCTGGGCGGCTCGGCAGCTCGGTTGCTGGGCGGCTCAGCGGCTCGGCGGCTCGGCTGCTGGGCGGCTCGGCTGCTGGGTGGTTCGGCTGCTCAGCTGCTAGGCGGCTCAGCGGTGAAGGGGCCGGTAGAGGCGGCGATGGGGCCGCTAGGGGCGGCCACGGGGCCGCTAAGGGCGGCGAGGTGGCCGCGAAGGGCGGCGACGGGGCCTCCAGGGGCGGCGACGGGGCCGCTGGGGGCGGCGACGGGGCCGCAGAGGGGCCGCAAGGGGCCTAGAGGGGCGGCGACGAGGCCACGAAGGGGCCGTAAGGGGCCTAGAGGGGGCGGCGACGGGGCCGGAAGTGGCGGCGACGGGGCCGCGAAGGGGCCGCGAGGGGCCTAGAGGGGCGGCGACGGGGCCGCTAGGAGCGGCGACGGGGCCGTGAAGGGGCCGCGAGGGGCCTATAGGGGCGGCGACAGGGCCTAGAGCGGCGGCGACGAGGCCGTGAAGGGGCCGCGAGGGGCCTAGAGCGGCGGCGACGGGGCCTAGAGCGGCGGCGACGGGGCCGTGAAGGGGCCGCGAGGGGCCTAGAGGGGCGGCGACGGGGTCGCTAAGGACGGCGACGGGGCCGCTAAGGGTGGCGCGAGGGGCCTCTAGGAGGGCGCGACGTGAGGGCGGCCTACGGGGCACGCCTCGGGCAGAAAAAAAAGATCGAGTTAGGTGGTGGGCCCTGAGAAGCGTTCCCACGAGGGAACCTGCTCTATACCATGTGAAGAATGAGGAAAAATGAATGAATTAGGAAAGAGGTGGGTACAAGTAGGAAAACCTAGAAGTGTTGTACCCCATATTGTCTACCCCACTACAGCCTACACAGACTATAGCATATAAGTTTGACAGTCAACACCAACATTTACGGGTGAGTCGTGCTTCGATCACCTCTAGCTTGCTTTGCGTTTGACTTATCGTAGTTTGAATACGATGATTCCGTTTATTTTATTCGCCAATATGCAGGTTACATCAAACAAGGGTAGTCGGACTAATCGAAACTACTATTTTTCCCGCTCCTCTATCACAGCTCCGCCGCCGCCGACCACCGCAACACCTAGGCGCGCACGGGTGCACGAGACGGCTACCATGCAAGCAGCCAAGCTGGTCTCCGCCACCATCAAGGATTGTCACGGAGACGCGATGACGCGCATTGAGAGCCTCGTCCGTGAATGGATGGCGCAGGACATGCGACTTGCCCGCGAGCGCATGACTGAATCGGCGCCCCCGGACGTGCACCGTGCGCCGCCGGATTTCAGCCCTCCTCCGCCACGCGGGGAGTCCGCACCTCCTCCCGAAGCCGCACAGCATGGCGACGATGTTGGCGACGTCAACACCGTCACTCCGAGTGCTGAGGATGTGGAGATATGGGTGCGCGGCGCCGACGATTAGCGTAAGAGTCCTGCAGGGCCTCACCCACTCTTTTCCGCCTCTCTCTCAGAGCCTGTTGTGTTGGGGGAACACAGGGTTCCCACTTGTGTGTCGCAATGGCACCCCGTGTCCACCAAGAGTCACGGTTGCGGGGCAGATTGAACCAGGCCATGTTCTTGCGCCTAACGACTGCCATCTCTTCACACAAGTTGTGCAAGATCACACAACACGCGGCTCCTGCGAGAATGCGCCACAACCTGCAGTCGTTGCGCCCGGCGAAGATGCGCCATCTCCCTTTCAAGGCGCCGATGCACCGTTCCACCGCCATGCGGGTGGCGCTCTGGCAGTAGTTGAAACATTGGGCCCAATCGTCCATCAGGACCTCTCCGCGCGGTGCATGCAGGGGGGTTAGGCAGTATTATCGTAGCGGGTAGGCCGCATCCCCAACAATCTGGTATGGGGCTATGTCCCCGTTGTGTAACCTCTCAAGTAGTGCAGACTCTTTGAAAACCCGCATGTCGTGCGCGCTGCCGGGATAGCCGATGAGGTAATCCCATATCCTGCCTCGTGCATCACACGTGATTTGGAGCTGAACGGCGTAGGTCGACTTCCTTGTCCAGTACTCCGCCCTGTGCCCTTCCATCCCTTTCATGTGGATGTGAGTCCCGTCCACAGCCCCCACCACTGCAGGTACACCTTTGATGGCAGCGAATTCACGCACCATCTCGGGAAGTTCATCGCGTGTGGGAAAGCGCACCCAGGCGGCCTTGAAGACAGAGGGGAACTCGGTGAGGAACACGTCAACAAGCTTGTGGCAGAGTGTCTTGGAGACACCGAACAGGTACGACATGTCGACGAATGAAATCCCACTCGCCAAGTACTTTATTGGGATGAGCAAAGCAGTGTCCATTGTGATTATCGACCGATGGACGATGGGCTCTAGATATTGTCGCATCCCAGACTTTACATGCTCAAGTATGGCGCGGTTGATCCTGAATATGTCTTGGAAATCGTTCTCCCGCATGTGTTGCAGGTCTTCAACCCACAAAGCATGACGTCGCCGCCGTACACTCGCTCTGTGATGGCGGTTCTCCCCGGTGTCGTCCCCGGACGATGAGGACTGCTCGTCCGCGACCTCAAACACACCGGACTCTATGAGGCCTACGAAGGACTTCGCGACATTTTCGTAGAAAATGGTGTAGTAGTAGGTGACCCAGGCGACGAGGAGGCGTAGGATGAAGGGGATGGCTCTAGGCTCTGCCATCATGCGTGGATTATGCGTGTGTAGTAATGGTCTCTGTGCTATGTTTGATTATAAAAACTCACGTACTAGAAGAGGAGTTGCAGATGTATGTGCCGTTGAGGCAATTATTGGCACTGCGAAGGAGTACTGTACCCTCCGCGGCCTCCCTGGACATCACCAAGGATCTACCGCGGACCTGGAGGTGTTGGTGTATGTGCTGCGCAAGGACGAGTGGGCATGTTTATTCGTTGACCAATCACAAACGTTCGCACATAATTGTCGCGCGTCTGTACAGAGTCGCAATACATCGATCGATTGGGACATGCAAACTCGAGACATTTGAGTGCGACTTGGCCAAATCGTGATTGGGACACATCGATTGGGACAGTGTCCACAGCGGAATGTACCCTAAGTAAAGATACTGCAATATCTATTTTCTATTGCACAATATATTAGCAAGAATCTTGGAGTGTACAGCCAAAGCTTCAGAGCCGTAGTGTACCCCGTCCGGCTTCCATATAAGCTCCGGCCGATCTTCTGTGGTTTGGTAGAAATCTGCCGTAGTGTAGCCTTCCTCCTGAAATCGTTTGTAGGAATAATCTTGATATATTTCATGGTATTGCCGCACTGTGAAATATTCTTGTCCAGTAACCTTGCCTGTTAATAGTGGGACGTGAGGAGAAGAGGAAGCAGGGTTGGGTAGAGGATGAGAGGTCAGTAACGGGCCGTAATGACAAGGGCGAACATTCAGTAACATCAACAACGTAATGCAGCAAAAAAACAAAACACACACACACACACACACACACACACACACACACACACACACACACACACACACACACACACACACACACACACACACACACACACACACACACACAGAAAAGGCAGAACAACAAAATATCTTTGGACAACACTTGCAACAAGAGTGCCTGCCAGCACAAACTAACAATCACTCACCGGGCCAGATATAGTGCGCCTTCCACCACAGCAGCATGCCTTTTTCCCGGTTGTAACTCGCTCTCAGCAGCTGTAGCAGCTCCTCCGTGTCCTTCTTGAACGTGGCTACATCCAGGTCGGGAGGCGGGCGGCGATTCCACCCAATCACCTGTGGTCAGGGAGGAGAAGGGTGCAGGGGCAGGGGCAACAAGAAGATTAGCTGTAGCAGAGACAGCTGTAGCCCCCCTCTGACCAGCTGTGGCAGCTCCTCCGTGTCCTTCTTGAACGTGCTACATCCAGGTCGGGAGGCGGGAGGCGATTCCACCCAATCACCTGCGGTGAAGGAGGAGGAAGGGAGCAGGAGGGTGATAAAAAATACCTGTAGCAGCTGTGGCAGCTGTAGCAGCTGTGGCAGCTGCAGCAGCTGTGGCAGCTGTAGCAGCTGTGGCAGCTGCAGCAGCTGTGGCATCTGTAGCAGCTGTGGCAGCTGTGGCAGCTGTGGCAGCTGTGGCAGCTGTGGCAGCTGTAGCAGCTCCTCCGTCTCTCTCGTGAAGGTGGCTACATCCAAATCGGGAGGGGGGCGGCGATTCCACCCAGTGCCTCATCCTCTATTCTCCCACTCCATACAACAACCAATGCTCAACATGCCTCTTTCCAAATTCCCCCACGCCCGTGTAATGAGTTGTGTTTTGAGTCGACTCAAAACACCACCTAATGCCTCATCCTATGTGCTCCCACTCCACCCAGCACCCAATGCTCAACATGACTCTTTCCACATTCCCCCATGCATCACCTCGTGCGCCCCAATGCTCATAATGAGGAAATCCGGCTGCTGCCCCCCTGGCTGCTTGAACGACTCGAGGAACTTGTTGTTCAGATCGCGCTCCTCTGTGGCATTCTCCTGAAGGGGTGGGGAGGGGTGGAGAGGGGTGGAGAGGGGAGGAGAGGGGGGGAGAGGGGAGGAGAGTGGCCGAGGGATAGAGAGGGGTGGAGTGGGGTAGAGAGGGGTGGAGAGGGGTGAAGAGGGGTGAAGAGGGGTGCAGAGGGGTGAGAAGTATACATGCATCAAACGCACTGCTCCACCCTGCACCCACCTCTGGGTGCCGCTGGTGTGCCATCTTCCCTCGGAACAGATAAGTCACACGCGGCCACTCGTCTCGCGACATAAGCAGCCGCCGCCTGCCGCCCGCCCTCCTCTCGTCCTCACCCACACTCTCACCGACACCCTCACCCACACTCTCACCGACACCCTCACCCACACTCTCTTCTCCACTTCCCAACTCCTGAGGGACTTCCCACTCCTCCATCTCCCCTCCCTCCATTCTATCCCAGTCCCCATCTGCTGCTCTCCCCCCTCCACTTTCCCCTCCATTCAACCGACCAGCACCAACCGTCTCTCCTCCCCCTCCGCCTTCTCTTCCTCCTCTTCCCTCCAGCATCACACCACCTGCCAGTCTCCTCCTCCTCCCCCCACCGCCCCCCTTTCCCCCCTCTGCCACCTGCTGATCAGCCCTGGTATCCAGTAACGTGCTCCTAGCTTTGTCCCCATCCCACGACCTGCGCTGCATCCCACACTGCCTTGCAAATTCATTCGCCAGTAACCGCGAGAGAGAATCCCCGAAAAAGTGTATCCATTTCCCCTTGAGGCATTCCCTAAGGCTGTCCGTTGATATTTCTCTGTACTGACAGTTGTCAGCCTCCCATTGGCTGTAGCTTTTCCACCTGCCTGGCGACGCGCCGTCCGTGCACAGCGGCTTCTCGGTCCGCTTCGGAAACTTTCGCCTGCCCGACTGCCCGCTCGGGCAGCTGCAGTTGACGAAGCCCGGCGCAGTGCAGACAGGGCCGATTGTGGACGGCGGAGTGAGGGAGCAGTCGGGGCATTGGGGGCAGGAGCGGGCGGCAAGGGCGGCTGTCCATTTGCCTGTTCTGCGCACTGTAGCTCCTATGACGTCCCGCAAACGTGCAAGGTCCTGTGGGGTTGAGGGGGGTGAAGCCCGGCATGTGGGGCAGGCAGAAAGACAAACAGACAGGCAGGCATGCAGGCAGGCAGGCAGGCAGGCAGGCAGGCAGGCACGCAGGCAGGCAGGCAGGCACGCAGGTCAGGCAGAACAAGCTTAAGGTGGCACTTTGAAGCCAGAACAGTAAACCTCAAATCTAAATCCGTGAAATAAGCAACTCACAGTCTCCTCTATTGATGCCCGGAGTTCATCCGCCACACAGTCGTAAAGATATCAAGTTTGGTTTGGGCATTCAAGAGCAATCTGCTTTTGAGTCGACTCGTAAAGATATCAAGTTTGGGCATTCAAGAGCAAACTCGCGGTGGCACTATGAAGCGTGAACAGTAAACACTCCAATCCAACAGTAAACCTCATGTACTGATCTGTATCTGTTGAGAAAAGAAACTCACCGTTTCCTCCATTGATGCCCGGACTTCATCCGCCACCTGTCGCGCTGCCAACTCGACCAGCTGGCGTGTGCTGGCGTTCCCAGGGATTGCCACGTCAGCAGGAGCTGATGTGTCCGCCTCGGCCGCCGCTGCTGAGTCAGCAGCCTACACATGGGAGAGAGAATCCAAGAAGAACGAGGGAAATCGAACCAAGAAAAGGGGGAGGAAAAGAGGGAGAAGGAGAGGAAAGGGAGAAGTGGAGGGGAGGAGGAGCACGGGAAGGGAGAGGGATGTAATGCGGGAAAGGATAGGAGATACAATAGATGCAATGGAGGGTAAAGGAGGGAGGCGGGAATGGGGTGGGGGGAGGGGGGGTAATGGGGTAAGGGCACAAATAGCATAATGGGAATGGTGAAGAGGAAAGCAATTGGTTGACTTGACATGACACACACAAACGAGATGAGATCATGAGAGGCACCGGTGACCATTCACTGGTTCCTGTAGCTGCTCTCACATCAGCTCACTGATTCACTCACTCCACACACACACTCACAGTCAACTTGGCGAGAGATGCCTGTAGTGCTCCCACGAGTTTCTTGTTGTAATTCATCTGGAGGGATGGGGTGGGGAGGGGGAGAGGAGGGGGAGAGGGAAGCGAGTGGGGGAAGGAAGGGGAGAGGGAGAGGGATGAGAGTGGGATAGGGAAAGAGGGGGGAGAGGAGAGACAGAGGCAGTGGGAGGGGAGGAGGGGAAGGAGGAGGAAGAAGATTCAATGGCAGAGGCAGAGGGGGGGGCAGAAGCAAAACGCGGGGCGAGGGGTAAAAAGGCGGGCATAAGGAGGGGCAGAACGAGGGGCAGAATGAGGAGCAAAGGGGAAAGGAGGGAGGCAGCGGCAGGAGCAGGACACACGAGCAGCGCATTACCTCACCCACCCACGTCACGCAGGTCCAAACCTCTCACCCACCCACTCACCCCACCTACCCCAGCCCAGCCCATCCCACCCCAACCCACCCCACCCACCCCAGCCACTCATCCAGTCCACGCACTTGTTCAGCCTACCTGCTTCTCCAGCACTTTCAGGTGCTTCCCCAGGTCGTCTCCCTGCTGCAACGTAGAATAGAAAGCAAATACAGCAAAGAAAAAAAAAAACATGCACAAAGTAGAGGGACAAATTTCAGTGCTTTTCTCTGCCTGGCTGAGATCATACAGCAGGAAGGAGTACCAAAGCTCATTTTTTAGGTTGATTCAAATGTCGACTCAAATGCTAAGTCACATGTCGATTCAGTCGTCAAACTCAGTCGTCACCTGGCTTGGAACATGCAACAGCTGAGACCTTTCGCAAAAGTCATCCAGTAAGTTCGACCTTTATTCATCTTCAACGAGACCTTACCTTTCGTCCCAGCAGCTGCAGCTGGAGTAAGTCGCATCGCCCAAGCGACGGCCTCGAGTAGGTGAACGCAAAGACGACAGCCGTTAGCGCGAGAACCGAAGCTGCCAACGCGGGAAACGCGCGGGAGAGGAAGGAAGGGGACGCGGGAGCGGAGGATCCGCCGAAATTGGCGCCGGAGTTTGTGCCGGAAGATGCGGCGTGGGGGGTGGTGGAGCGGGAGGAGACGGTGGATCGCTGGGAGGAGCGAGAGCCCGCCATGGTGAGTGCCGACACGGCGGATCGTTGAGATCGCGATTACGCGATCGCATTGACTAAATTAAGTCGGCTAACATTATGGCGAAACACACAGTCGTGGCAAGAGGCAAACAAGCAATCATGGAACAAGCAATTATGTCAAATCTCCGCGGTTCGAGAGAGAAACATTAGGGACTAGGGCGAAAAGTAGGTTGCGAAATTGGTCAGGTCAGGTCAGGTAGTAGAAACTGTTATCGAGGCCCAGGAAACTCTGTTCGGTATGAAACATGCTCAACTGCCTAGGCTGCATGGACGGTATTCACTGTATAAAAATCAACAAAATATCTTTATCTTTTGATACTTATGCTTTCCAGATTTTAATAGTGTGAAAAATCATGACAAAAAATAAAATATGTTTAATCAGCATAAATAATCGATAGACGCATCTGTTCAGCTTGTGGGGTTACTAATTTTAAAAGCAGGATAACTTGATGTATGCAGGGTATATATGGTGTAGCTTTCAAGCTCTGTACTGAACTGTTGGGTTTTGTGCTCGCGTCTGACACGTGTTCTGTGGTGGTCGAGGCGCTGGGAAATGGCGGGAAGAAACGAAACGGAAACTGCCTCCTTTTCTTCTCCCTTGAAATGAGAATGGCAGTCCCCGCCTGGTGGACAAGCGGACTGCTTTCCAAAATTCGCATGGGGTGGGGGTAGCGAATCCGGCTATGAAAAACGACAAGGACACCTCATTCACTAGCTGACGGTCGCCGTTTACAGACTGGCTAACCTCAACCACAACAACGCATGTCGGTTATCCTTTCAGTGTCATTTCCATCTTCCAACCAATCACAACCGTGTGAATTAGCTACACGTTCCGTCCAACAAACCTAGTTAGGCCCATGTTGCTCTTGGGCAGGTTGTAAAGTCGTGACCGTCTGTGATGAGCTGATTTCAGCGTCAGCGCCACCGAGCCAACCGTTAGACCCAGAACCAGAACCTCGCGACGCATACCATGACTACAGTAACCCATAAGAGTTTCTCCTGACATTTCTGTTTTGGCTGCTACGGTGTGTTCTTTTCCCAAATTGATGCAGCACGGTTGTGTTCGATGTGATGCGCTCCAAAGCGATGATCCACCACTACCGTGTTCAACCGTGACAGAACTTTAATGAACCCCATCGGGATTCTCCAAAGTCCGTCTGGTCCGTTTTCCCCACCTCCTCCAATTTCAGTACCTCCAAATTACCTCTCATAGTCATTGTGCCTCTCAGATTCCTCACCTCTCCAGCTCTCCCGCCATTATCTACTGACCTCACCTATCCATCATCCACCTCCTCCCTCTGGCGCTCCCTTATCGCCACCGCATCAACCCTAACCAGCTGCCAGCGTTCAGTTGTAGGAATGACTTCATTGGATAAGAAGTGCCTTTTAAGAAGTACTTAGAGTCCCTTCTGCGGGATGGCTCTACACCTCGTGAAGTCTCTCAAAACTCTCGCTTATATTTAGGATTCTGTTGAATGAACAAGTTGCAGGAGCTCTGTTTTCAGAATTTTGTCAAATCAATTAGTAGTAAGATATTTCCCGTGTCTGTATGCTCGAGCATTCGCGTATGCTCGCACGCTTGGTCTTGGCTCTCGCGTTTAGGTTAAAAGCGTTCCCGATTTGGGAACGGAAAGCGGTTAGAAGGGTACTATTGTCGTGAACTCAGACTGCGTATTCTTATTATCTACTTTTCTAGTCAATCGAAAGTGGCTTAATTGTCAAGTAACAATGGACGGTTACAACCAACACTCAGGTCAGCAGCAATACCAGCCTCCTCAGCAGCAGCAACAATCTCAGCAATACCAGCAGCAGCAGCAGCCGCAGCAACAACAGATGGCGTATCAGCAGCAACCCCAGCAACAACAGCCGCAGCAGCAACAGCCGTACATGCAACAGCAGCAGCAGCAACAGCAGTTCCAGCAGCAGCAGCAGCAGCAACCGCAACAGCAGAACTGGAATAGCGGAAATGCTTCCTCTGGTCAAGGAATGTCGGAAAACTTTGGTTCTTACCAGGCAAGTCTTATTTGTTCGTTATTTTGTTGATTTTTATACACTGGACAATCCGTGGAACTCAATCCACTTCCACGTTTGTATCGATTGCGGAAGGCAGCTTGGCACTTTAGCCGCCAGGGATTGCCTCAGTATGTGCCATAAACGGGTGTCCAGAAATCGGTTTGTTCTGATGTGGATTCATACAAGATACGGATTCCCTAATGTGAATTCTGCCATTCCCCTCTGCTCACCACACAAACATTTCCGGCACCTTCCTTTCGCTCCCCTCTCTCCCCCCTCTACCCCAATTCCGTTCCCTGCCCACACTCAGGGCGCAACGCCCCGCCAGCCCATTTTAGCAACCGCGGGCCTGCGCGGACCCACCCCCCTGAAGTCGATCCCGCCATACCCTTCCGCTCACCTCGCGTTTCCTTTAACTTGCTTTCTCTTGTCTCCTCCCCCCCCTCTCCCCCTCTCCCCCACTCCCCCGGCCCTCCCCCACACGCAGGGCGCAACGCCCGGCCAGCGCATTCTCGCAACGGCGGGCCTCCTCGGCCCCACCCCCCTGATGGGAGTCTCCCCCGTTCCCCCCGGCGCAGCTCCTGGCGCAGGGGGAGCCCCCGGCGCGCCTGGATCCGCGCAGCAGCAGCAGCCCGCGGACGTGCAGGCGCAGGTGGCGCTGCTGGCGGGCCAATTAGACGACGCCACGTTGCTGCGCCTCCTGCAGCAGCGCGCAGCGCAGGGCTCGCTGCTAACGAGCGTCGCGGCGGGATTCGGTCTCACGGGCGCAGGCGGCGGAGGTCCCCCTGGCGTAGGCCCTCCCGGCGGAGCTCCCGCGGGGGGCCTTGGCGGAGGCCCGGGAGGGCCTGGCGGACCTGGCGCTCCTGCGGGGGCGCCGGGCGCGCAAGGAGTGGCTCCCCCGGGTCCGGGGGGGCCTGCGCCTGGGGGACCCGGGGGAGGGCCCCCCGGACAAGGGGGGCAGATGCTTGGTCCGCAAGTGGGAGTGGGGCCGGCGGGCGGGGGAGCGGGAGTGGGGCCCGGAATGGGTCTGAAGGTGCCTCAGTTCCGACAGCAGCCACATGTGAGTTATTCCACTCCACCTTTTGACCAGTTTTAAGGCGCTTCACAACTTGGCTGGGGGAAGAGGAGTGGGGTGCGGGATGGGTCTGAAGGTGCCTCAGTTCCGCCAGCAGCCACATATAAGTTAGTCCTCTCCACCTTTTAACCAGTATTGAGACTTCTCAAAACGAGTATTCAGACGTCTCCACCTTTCTCCCGCTATGCCTCTCCTACCATTCCCATCAATACCTCGTCCCCCTCCCCCTTCCCCCCTGCTGCCTCTGCCGCCTCCCATTCCCGCACTTACTGCTTCCCCCTCCCCTTCTCTCCTCTCCGCTTCTCCCTTCCCAGCGTTTAGCGGACGCGTATTAAATTCACCTCTCCACTTACCCCACCACTCTCTCCCCATTCTCTCGTCCCGCTTTCCCTTCCCCTTCCCCCACTTCCCCCCACGTTCCCCTCTGCTCTTCCCGTCCGTGTTTGCTAATCCCCTCTCTTCCCCGCCTTTTCCCATTGCCAGGCGCAGGACACCCCGCCAGCCCCATCCTTCAACGGACTCGTACCAAATCCGCCGCCCATGCAAGCCCAGCAGCACCCCAACTCCGTGCCACCACAACGTGCGGGTCCCCTGCAGCCGCAGCAACCGCCCCCCTTGTCCCATCATGCTCCTTCCCCTCATCCCCAGCACCAGCAGCAGCATCAGCAGCAGCAGCAACCCCCGCTTCAATCCTCCTCCTCTTTCCACCAAGGGATGTCACAGCCGTCCAGCTCTCTCCCCCAGCCGCACACTCAGATGCAGACAAATCCGGCCGCCGGCGCCGCCCCTCCCTCTCTCATGCCGTCCCAGTCGAGTGCTGGCGCGGGGGGAGTGGGGGGAGGCGCGCAGGGGAGCGGGGGAGCGGGCGGGAGTTCAGGCGGAGGGGGAGGCGGAGGCGGAGGAGGAGGAGGAGGGGGGAAACCGAGGGCGAGGGCGAGACGAGGGCAAGCGACGGACCCCCACAGTATTGCGGAAAGAGTGAGTGAGGGACGGACGGAAGCGGGAGAGGGAAAAGAGGGCGGGAGGGAAAGATGGGGAGGTTAGGAGGGGGAAGGGAATCTGGGAGATGTGCGATTCTCAGCATCTGCTTCGTTTCTACACCTCTTCTCACCCTCTGTTCTCTCCCATCTGCCTGCTGTGACGAGAGCCCTTAGCAGTGGGCATACACATCCTCTAGGACTGGTGCCCAAACTAGCTCGTTGTCTCGTCAAACAAACCCCTACCCGCCCCTCCCCACCCCTCCCCACCCACCCACACCGCACGCTCTTCATGCTGTTCTGGTTGCCTGCCTTTCTCCCATGTGCCTGCTGCGTTGAGAGCGCATAGCAGTGCGCATGCACGCCCTGCATGACCTAGTGCTAAACCCCAGTGTCTCCTCCCTACCTTCCGCTCCCCTCCCCCTCACCCCCCGAAAGCCCCTCCTCTCTTTTGTACCCACTCCCCTCTCCTTCCCCCATAGTAGCTGCGCCCAGAGCGCATAGCCGAGAGGATGAGGGCGCTGCACGACCTGGTGGCCAACTCGACCGTCTCCCATCTATCCACCCTCCTCCCTAAACGTCCCCTCCTTTCCCCCTTCCCCCGTGCAGCCGCTCTGGGAGCGCATAGCAGAGCGCATGAGGGCGCGCTGCAGGACCTGGTGCCCAACTCGAGTGACTTCTCATTTACGCACCTTCGTCCATCCCCTTCCCCCGCCCACCCGGCCCCCTCCCCCCATCTGCCAGTTGCGCCGAGAGCGCATAGCGGAGCGCATGAGGGCGCTGCAGGACCTGGTGCCCAACTCGAATCGTGTGGACAAGGCATCAATGCTGGATGACATAATCGACTATGTCAAGTTCCTGCAGCTGCAGGTGAAGGTGGGTCTTTCCCTCCCCCTCACTCCTCTCTCTCTTTCTGTCCTGTGGGTGTTCCTCGCTCTCTTCCTCTCCCTCGTCAATCTCCCTCGCTCTTCTATCTCACTCCTTGAATCGCGTGGACAAGGCATCAATGCTGGATGACACAATCGGCTATGTCAGGTTCCTGCAGCTGCAGGTCAAGGTGAGTTGGATTGGATTGTTGCCGGGAAGGTGGGTGCGTCTCTTGCCTTCCAACCTCCCTCCTCTCGCCTTCCCACACCCTCCTGCTGCTCTCCTTTACCCCCCCCCACCCCCCCCCCCCATGGCACATGTGCTCAATCTCAACCACCTGTCCATTTCGTTTCCTCTCGCCTTCCAAGATCCCTCCTTCTGCTCTCCTATACCCACCCTCTTGCTCTCCTTTACCCCTCCTCTCGTCCCCCTTCCGCCGGTGCTCGATCTAAACCACCTGTCCATCCCATTTCCTCTCGTCCTCCCACATCCCGCACCCTCCCCCCCCCCACCCAATGCCTCATGTGCTCAATATTACCTGCCTGGCCGTCCCGTCTCCTATCGCCCTCCCACACCCCTCCGTTCTCCCGCCTTCCCCCCACCCTAGGTGCTCAATTTGAACCGCCTGGCAGGCCCTGCAGCTGATGCCGTGGTCACCCTGCTTGCTGATTTGAACCCCGAGGTATGCAGAGGTGTGGAGATGTGTGGGAAGGTGTGTGGGGGCTCTATAGGTGCTCAATTTGAACCGCCTGGCAGGCCCTGCAGCTGATGGCGTGGTCACTCTGCTAGCAGATCTAAACCCTGAGGTATGCAGAGGTGTTGGGAGGTGTTGGGAGGTGTGGGGAGGTGTGTGGAAGTAGACGTATGGGGAGGTGTGGGGTGTGGGGAGGTGTGGGGAGGTACGGGGAGGTGCATAAACCACTAGTCTCAGTGTCCCACTCCTCTGCCCCTTCCGTGGGTTCTGCTTTCCCCATCCTTCTGCTCCCATGCTTGCTCCTTCTCCCCCTGTTCTCCTGCTGCTCCCTTGTTTTCGTCTTCATCTAATTCTCCTTTGCTCCTGCTTGTGATTCTTCCTTTTGCTGCTGCTGCCCCATGTTCGTTGCTGCAGGAAATCGACGATGGTCTCTCATCCTTCTCACAGCAGGAGCTTACTCTTATGGAACGACAGGTGGGCTGGCCGAAAGGATAGGTGAGTTACTTCAAACGATGATTGATTTGCACTGAACACGAGGTGGGTTTCCCAGAACGACAGGTAAGCTACCTTCAACGACAGGTAAGCTACCTTCAACGACAGGTAAGCTACTTCCAACGACAGGTAAGCTACCCTAAACGTGGGTTTCCCTGAACAACTGGTGGGTTGCCCTCATACCTGTGCGCACTCCTGCTTGTAACTTGCTGTATTGCTGATGGCATGACTGATGGAGCAGGATATGAGGGCAGCTATGCAGTACCTGCAGAGCAAGGGGCTCTTTACCCGGTGCTTTCCTTTTAAACGGCTGTTTACCTGTCTCTGTCGTGCTTGCAGGTGGCATTGCTAATGGAGCAGGACATGGGAGCAGCTATGCAGTACCTGCAGAGCAAGGGGCTCTTTACCCGGTGCTTTCCTTTTAAACGGCTGTTTACCTGTCTCTGTCGTGCTTGCAGGTGGCATTGCTAATGGAGCAGGACATGGGAGCAGCTATGCAGTACCTGCAGAGCAAGGGGCTGTGCCTCATGCCTCTCGGACTAGCCAATATGATGTCCAAGGGGAAAGGGGAAGGTGGGGGGGAGGAGAGAGGTGGTGAGGGGGGTGATGCAGGGGAGGGAGGAGGAGGAGGAGGGGGCGGAGGAGGGGGAGGAGGAGGGGGGAAAGGAGGGGGAGGAGGAGGGGCCGGGGGAGGAGGAGGAGGAGAGTGGGGAGGAGGAGGGGGAGGTGGGGGAGATGGTGGGGAAGGCGACATGGATGTGAAGGTTGGCTCTATACAGATGACGGGACCAACAGCTGCAGCAGGAGGAGTAGCATCAGCAACAGGAGGAGGAGGAGGAGGAGGAGGAGGAGGAGGAGGAGGAGTAGCAGCAATAACAGCTCCTGGTTCCTCTCCTGCTCTGGCCCCTGCAGCTGTGGCAGCACCTGTTTCTCCTGCCGCTGCTGCCGCTGCTGCAGCTACTCTTACCAATCCCACCCCAGTTGCTGCAGCTACTCTTACCAATCCCACCCCAGTTGCTGCAGCTACTCTTACCAATCAGGCTGCTCCTGCCACGAGTCCTGCAGCTGCTGCTGGGTCCAGCGGTGTGGGCGCTGGAGGCGTGGGAGCGGTTGCTTTGCCTGGAGCTGTTGATTCGCCTTCTAGGGGTGTTGGTGGAGTTCAAACTGGGTCACCTGTGGCCACAGCGGCAGGCGCAGTGGTTGTGGCAGGAGGCGCACCAGCACCAGCACCAGCAGGAGCAGCAGGAGCAGGAGCACCAGTAGAGTTAGTACCAGGTAGTGCCTCCAACTCACCTGCTTTTGCATCAAGGGCGGCAGCGGGAGGAGGCGGAACGGGGGGACTAGGATCGCCATGTGTGAAAATGGAAGAGGTGGAAGAGTGTGGGGGGGAGTGTGCTGCAGGCGGGGTTGCAGCAGGGGGGGTGGGCCTGGCAGCCGGTGCGGGTGGTGGTGATAGTGGTGGAGGAGAGAATGAGAGTGACAAGAAGATGAGTCCAGTGAAGGCTGGAGCAGCAACGGGAGGGCTGAATGGCGGTGCTATGGAGGTTTCTGGGCAAAGCAGTGCAGTGGCAGCAGCTACCGGTGTTGCTGCTGGGGGTGTGGCGGCTGTTGCTGTGAACGCTGGTGTGTCTGCTATGGAGGGAATCACTACAGCATCCTGAGAAGGATATTAGTCGAGTGGCTTGGCCGGGTGTGTGGACTTTCATCTGCTCCCAAATGAGCAGGTGGTCGGCTTTTGTCAGTGGGAGGCCTTGCTGGCAGGTGGTGGTGCTACTGCTGTTACAGGTGCTGCCTCTACACTTCTCATTCAGGACACAGATACTAACAATCTTCAGAGACACTGAGTCACTAAGGCTGGAAAATACATTATAGAGCATTCTATAAAATCATGACAGTGCACCTTGACCATGCTCATTCAGCATTTTGCGGGCATGCATGCTAACAGACACACATCTATAGTATCCCGAGCTGATTGCAAAGTTTTACTTACCTACCAATAGCACAAGCTTTTCACTTCCGCTTTTGTTTTGTTTCTATGTGTTGGTTTTGTTCAACAGTTCACTGATGTAGTAGTACTAGTAGTCCAACAATGTCTAACTAGGGGCCCCACACCCACACAAGATGCGGTAAGACAGCAGAACAGGTGCAACAGGTAAATGAAACACCGATTCAGCCAAGACAAGTCACACACACACCTGTTACAAACTCTAAGTGGAGGGGGCCCATGTATAGTAGAAAGCCAAGGCTCGGTTGGCAGCATGCCCACCAAAGCCTGAGGCTGAAGTCAACCACGCAGCAACTGGTTGATGCCTTCTTCAGGAACATGTGACGTCCTTACAGCAACATTGCACTTCATTCAGTGAACAGTTCAGGAGCTGACAGCTGCCAGGCTTGCATTGCAATATGACGTGGAAGAAGCTGCGACATTAGCTGCTTCTGAAAACCCCAATAATGTCGAAGCTGAAATAATTGGTGGATCCAATGTAGTGGTTATCCGCAACCAGCAGACGTGGCAGGGAGGAATGGAGGAGCAGGAGCCATAACGCTGGTGTTCTCATCAGGCAAGGAATCGAAATTCCAGAGGAAGGATGCATACGCGGCCAGGACATAACTGCAACGACGAAACAAAGCGAGAGTGAGCGCGAGAAATGGCACAACAGATGTAGAACTCCCAACATATTGCAATTCACGACTCCCAGAACCATCAGCCAATGTAGAATGTTGCAAACGAACGATTCAGTGGGTGCTTACCAATCCTGGGGTGCAGCGCTGACTGCTCGCTCGAAGAAAATGGAGGCCTTATTCGCATCGCCCATGCCTTCCCACAGGAGCTTCGCGTACTGAACCAGAAGTTCCCCGTCATAAGGAGCTTCGGTTATAGCGCGCTCGAAGAGTTTCTCAGCTTCTTCGTGTTCTCCCTTGACCTGAAAAGACAAGATATCGAGGAAATTTCAGTGTCAGAAACACCAAGCAGATTGTAGACACAGAAAGGTTATAAAGAATAGACGGACAGTCAAATAATAACATGGTAAAACAAGATATTCACCTCGTAAAGAAATCGCGCGAAGTTGCGAAGGAGGAGGGGATCTTCTGGATCCTTGGCCAGAGCGGTGACGTAATGAGCTTCCATGGCCTCGACGTCTGCAGAAGACGTGCCTGACGCAGGACTAGTTCCGTTTTTCAGCTCCCTCCCAAGATTCGGCGTCCCGTGGCAAACAACAGGAAACGTTTCACCGGCTACGCTGAATGAAGCAGACGAATCAACCTGCTCGCTCCGAGCAACATCGGAGAGGCCGAGATCAAGCGACGGTCGAGATCCTTGCTCGTCCGGTAGATGCTGGTAGATCTCTGGGTGAGATCCTGCGAACAGACCTCGCATCTGCATCTCGTCAGCGCCGTTGGTGAAGAATTCCAGACTGGCGTAGTCGTTCTGATTTCTTCTGTTGCAAGGCATGCCGGCTAAAGGCTCCAAGGGAAACAGCGACGGCGTCTTAAAAGGAGGTGATGAAGAGGATGTAGCTTTGCGTGGAGATCTAAGTAGAGGGGTTGATGGAGGCGAGGAAGGATGCTTGAAGAACGAAGCGTCGGATAGTGGGAACGGCATGGGTGGATGGTCAGACGGATATGAACTAGGGTTGCCCGCTTCTTGCGAAGAGAAAAGCCAACTTCTTCCTTCCCTGCTGCTGCCCTTCTGACGGTCCGCAGATTCTGTTGGGGTTGCACTTTGCTGCGAGTGGTTATCCGGGGTCCGGAGCTCAGGAACTGACACGATACGGCGAAACTCGCAGTCTTCCTTCTGAGACGAGTCCATCTCAGAAACGATGAACAAGCTCCGTGAAAACTGAGCTGCTGATGTGGCCGAGAATTCGGAAAACCAAGGGGTAGATGATGTTAGAGGCGACGAAGCGTTGCAACGCTTCCAGGTTAAACGGGAGGCTTGATGACTGGCCAGGCCTCCACGAGGGGAAACCATGGAGCATTGGAACGATGGGCTAGCTGCATCTCGGAGTTTATCCGCTTCTCTTCCATTCGTAGATCCCGCGGGAACTGGAGTCAGATGCGGAGCTGAAATGCTTCTGGCGAGCATAGCGTCGGCCATAGCTGACGGATTAACAGACAAAAATAAAAGGATGTTAAACGAGAACGTTTCTGCGGGATACTGAACTACGATGCAGCAGCCTTCACTGAATCTTAACAATCGACCCCGTAAGACTAAATACTCCGGAGCTGACTACCAACAACAACAATACCCCAAGAAAGGACGGTTGTAAGGCAGTATCCTCCAAAACCCTTCTCCAGAATACGAGCAGACGCCAACAAATAAGATAACCGAGTAAAATGAACTAGGACAGGACAAGCAGTTATTCAGCACAGTAGTTGTCAGCAGAAAGGTGTCTAGTGAATCGTATTGGCTGAATGACCTCACGTCTTGGGAGAAACCGACCAACTTCAGGAATTTGGCTGCTCCTTTACTGACGAAGCTCAAGCGAGGTTACCAGAGCTGCTGAAAACGAAGAGGTGTGGTAGTGTTCTCGCTTTCCCTCTCCTCTCTTCCTCTCTCCCTGTCTCCACCCTCACTGTTGGAAGATGTTTTCTAGGTTGGGCGGAACATTCTGCTCGTTCCTGCTTCCGAGGCCGACATGGTCGGGGTTTTGGGGAAAATCTGCTCCGCACAACATTGTTCCTCCGCCGTCCTTGGGATCTTGGTGGGCTGTTTGCGGGAGCATTCCGCTGCGAGCGAGCTCCGCCTTGAACCAGATCGCGGAGCTTCTCCGCAAAAGCTAGGCTGCGCAAGTGTCCCTCATTACCCGAACCTCCAACCTGGAAGAAGATATTCGTGCGTGGCATTGCTGCCCAGACAAAGTCAAAGAAAAGGGAAAGGGGAAAAAAAGGACACTGGTGGCTAAATTGAGTCACAATCTTCTTCTGACCTCGATTGATATCTTTTCGGCTGGGCAGAGCAAGCACCAAAACGAGTTGCTGCGGCTGTCCATTCGGAGTTCCGAAAGGCGAGTGCTTCATGCGTGCAGGCGTGGCAACTCCGAATTAGTGGGGAGGCGCAGCCTTCCGAGCGCCAGAAAGTTGGAGCCCTTATCGTGATTCGCTCGTATGGCCATGCCTCCCCCCCCAAACCCCCCACATTGCAAATCCTCCTCCCCACCAGCCCCCCCAAAGCCCCCCCGTTTTGCGCAGTGCATATCCATTCAACATGCCACTCGCCTCATGACAAAAACTGCTGTTAGAATCTACTCTACACGTGAGCACAGACATCGACGGCTGTTGATAGGGGTTGAGATTCATCGCTGCAGAAAACACGGCGAAACCTCCGAGGACCCCGGGGCTCTCGAAAGCGTAACAGCATCCACCAGGATTCCATGTGACGGGTAAACGAAACGAAGCGATGACGATGTTGAGGCATCCATCCATGTGTGTACGAAGGGAGAAATAACATCCGAAGGGGACTGAAGAACACAATAACAAATGTTCAGTCCACTCTATGCAGAAAAACTGGGGCCACAGCCACCTTGAAATTGAAAATGTTTCACAAGAGCTGTCCCAGCACCGCAATTGAGCTTAAATAATGATTGCGGCACATGGGCCAACTTACATGCACCTGGTTACATACAAGCAGATGGTTTTCATCCCTCGCATTGTCTCCGTGTTTCATGGAGTCGACTGCCCAATAGAAGGCGTGACGGGAAAGCTATGCTAGCATACCCACCAGGCCAATGATGAGTATTCCTGCGCGAAAAGATCCTTCTACTTGCAGTAACAGTCGACACATTGTCGGAATTCGTAAAATATATAATAGAATCAAACAAACAGAGTTTCCAAGACAACCAGGCACTCATTAGAAAAATGGTGAGGGGAGAATGATGTGACTCCAGGGTTCAACCCTAAATCCGTGACACTTGGATCTCAAGGAATACATCATCCTTGTCAATGGTTGAAAGTCAACCAAGCCCAAAAAATCCCACAAAAACACATGCTGTCCACGGATAAATAATGCAACTAAAAAAACAGAAGCAGCGCTCACAGACTAAAACATGCATGCTTCCAAACTAGAGTGAATGGCAGCAGCCAACTAGGTCAGCAAAGCCATTGTGCTCCTAGGCAGGCCTGTGCTTTGACTTTTCTATAGCTTTTCATCCAGCAGGCAGCTCATCTTTCAATCAGCTGCACTCAAATGTGAACTCCGTCTTGATCCATTGACACCTGGCAGGCCTGTGCTTTGGACTTTTCTTCTACAGCTTTTGTCTTGTTAAGCAGCAGGCAGCTCATCCTCCAAGTAGCTGTACTCAAATGTGAACTCCGTCTTGATCCGTTGACACCTGCCAAACGTCCCACAGGGATTGCAATTCACGTTAGAAAAGATGCCAAAATTGAACAGGACCAGAGTCTACTTACCAGGGGGGAGATAAAGACAGGAGAAGGGGAAGTGGGGGAGGAACTCTATCACCCCAACACCAGCCCCAATAACATCATTTTCATCCTCTCACCATCCAGTCTGGTAGTCGTCATGCACACTGTGGAAGTCAAAGCACACGTAGGTGCCCTGCTCATAGTGCTCTCCTCCTCAACCACCCACTCAACCACCAACTGCATGCTCTCACAATGCCCAACCTCTCTCCCTCACCATCCGGTCTGGTAGTCGTCATGCACGATGTGGAAGTCAAAGTACACATAGGTGCCCTGCTCACAGTGCTGTCTCCCTCTCTCTCTACTACATTCTCCCAACACACACACATCAAACAATTGAGTGCTCTCACCATCCGGTCTGGTAGACGTCATGCACGATGTGGAAGTCAAAGTACACGTAGGTGCCCTGCTCACAGTGCTGTCTCCCTCTCTCTCTACTACATTCTCCCAACACACACACATCAAACAATTGAGTGCTCTCACCATCCGGTCTGGTAGACGTCATGCACGATGTGGAAGTCAAAGTACACGTAGGTGCCCTGCTCACAGTGCTGTCTCCCTCTCTCTCTACTACATTCTCCCAACACACACACATCAAACAATTGAGTGCTCTCACCATCCGGTCTGGTAGACGTCATGCACGATGTGGAAGTCAAAGTACACGTAGGTGCCCTGCTCACAGTGCTGTCTCCCTCTCTCTCTACTACATTCTCCCAACACACACACATCAAACAATTGAGTGCTCTCACCATCCGGTCTGGTAGTCGTCATGCACGATGTGGAAGTCAAAGTACACGTAGGTGCCCTGCTCACAGTGCTGTCTCCCTCTCTCTCTACTACATTCTCCCAACACACACACATCAAACAATTGAGTGCTCTCACCATCCGGTCTGGTAGCCGTCATGCACGATGTGGAAGTCAAAGTACACGTAGGTGCCCTGCTCACAGTGCTGTCTCCCTCTCTCTCTACTACATTCTCCCAACACACACACATCAAACAATTGAGTGCTCTCACCATCCGGTCTGGTAGTCGTCATGCACGATGTGGAAGTCAAAATAGACGTAGGTGCCCTGCTCATAGTCATCGGTGGTGAGCTTGGGCTCCTCGTGCCGCTGGAACCACGTGTTGTACTTCTTGTGGTACCGCCACGACTGCTTCTTTAGCTCACGCGCGGCCAGGTATTGTTGATACGTGCCCTGGTGAGCAGAAATTGGGGAAGGGAGGTGGAGTGGAGGGGCAGGGAGGGAGGGAACCACGTGTTGTACTTCTTGTGGTAGTGCCACGACTGCTTCTTCAGCTCTCGTGCGGCCAAATATTGCTGGTATGTTCCTCATGGGCGGGGATTTGGGAAGGTGGGTGGAGGGAGTGGGGTGGAGGGGCATTGAGGGAGGAACCACGTGTTGAACTTCTTGTGGTAGCGCCACGACTGCTTCTTCAGCATCTACTTCTTCAACCACCTGGTGTATGAAAAACTGGCACTGGTATAGGTGAAGGCGAAGAGGAGCATGTCCGTAACCAGCAGATCCCCCAGCCCCGAAACGGTCACTACCATTCCGTTCCATTCGTCCACGCAGAGACCAAACCAGCAGCCCAACCGGTGTACATAACCTTTTACCGGTACCGCACGGTTACTCGCGCACTCGCATACCTGCTGGTGGTAGAAGGCGAAGAAGATCACGTCCATGTCCAGTCGCTCCCACAGCCCTGGGCGCTTCTCGACATTTGCGCCTAATACTGGTAACCACACTGTTACTTGCACACTCACATACCTGCTGGTGGTAGAAGGCGAAGAAGAGCACGTCCATGTCCAGTCGCTCCCACAGCCCTGGGTGCTCCAACACTGCTGCTGGCGCCTGCGGGTAGCTGGCAGGCGTGATGGCAGGGTTCCGCTGAAAGGGAGAGGAAGGGTGTCGGGAGGGGTGGGAAGGGTGGGTTGAGTGAGAAGGAGGGAGCAAGCGAGTCAATAGCAGCTCCAGCACTGCTGCTGGCGCCTGGGGATAGCTGGCATGCGTGATGGTGTGGTTCCTCTGAAGGGAAGAGGAAGGGTGTGGGGGGGAGTTTCAGGGAGAGAATGTAAGAGGCGATAGCAACTCTAGCATTGCTGCTGGCGCCTGGGGGTAGCTGGAAGGTGTGATGGCAGGGTTCCGCTGAAGGGGAGAGAGTGGCAGAGGGAGAGGCAGAGGGTAGGGATGAGCAAATTCACGAACGCCTGTTGTTCGAGGCGAACCGAACAGGATTTTTTTTTGCATAATTCGTTCGGGGCGAACACGTTCGCCGTTCGTCAATGACATTTGGCCACGGGATGTCGAACACGAACACGTTCGTGTTCGACTTGGGGGCCCGGCGAACACCAAAATGTTTGCGTCAAAATTGGCCACGACCAAATTTAGGTCGCGGCCGTTTTGAGTTAGAGCTCATTTCTGGAGCTCAAACTCAAAACGACTTGGGCGCTTAGCCCTCCCTCCCACAACCGCCACAGCCTTGCGGTTTACGAGCCATCGCACACCGTTCCTTAACTTTTACACGGACATTTCATCTAACTAGTCCATAGTGTAGGGTAATTTCTTAAACATTAAGGGTTGGTAGCTTAGGGATCAAGCTTGGAGTGGTCAATTCTATAGTTGTAGGGGCGGGCATTTCTCTGTGCCACACGTAACTAGGATTTCAGTTAGGACCGTGCTATCCGTGGCACGCGACCGTTACTTTGGGGTTTTAGGGTTTTAGGGCCGAGGGCGGAGTTATGGCTTCCGGCCAACATGGATCTGTAGAACAAGGTGCAGGCAGCGCTCAGGGCAGTACACCAGGTTCTCCACCACGACCTATGCAGGGGCGAGTAGGTGATGGACCAGCAGGAGCTGGCGCATGTTTCGTCGGGGGGGTTCTTTCCGTAGCGGCGCCGACATCCCGTCACTCGTTCTGTTACGATGGCCCTCGACCCCCTCCTTTTGGGCAGACGCAGCCGGAGAGTGGCAGTGAGGAGGAGGATGAGGAGGAGGAGGGTGAGGGCGAGGAGGATGAGGACGATGAGGGGAGCAGGGATGACAGTGAGGCCGGGTGGGATCCCGAGAAGCATGGCGGTGGGGAAGGGGGGGATGATGATGAAGACCATGAGATGGATGGGTTGGAGTCAGAGGAGGTGGAGGAAGAGGTGGGAGAGGGTGGTGGAGGGGCGACGACAGAGGCGGCCTAACAGCATGTGGGTGAAGGAGGAGGGAGCGTGGGGGTTAAGGTGGGGAGAAAGCTTGCGTCCATTGCGGGGCCGAAGCGGAGGAAGAGGGCGAACAAGTTGAGGCCGCGAGCGTGTCCCTGCACATTCACTGGGGAGCCCTTGGGCGAGGGTGTGATCGCTCCGGAGTTCCTAGACGAGGACGGAGGGTCCGAGAGTAGTAGGGGGACTGGCAAGGGTAATAAGAAACCGGGGTGGCAAGTACAGATGTTCGGGCCTAAAGAGTCAGACGAGAGGCGTCAGTGCAAGATTTGCACTGACAGGATTTCGTGGAAGCAATCCACAACAACACCCGGCGAGCGTCACTTCGAGAGCTTCCACACAGCTCACGTACACGTGTGATATCATCGTTTCATCACTCCAAGCATTCAGTTGCCTAGCGAGACATTTTCTCGTGGGGGCTACAAGGTGTGCCGGATGGCTACGTCGATAAGTGGCCGCATGCCAAGTGCTGGCCGAACCTCGCAAAGAAGAAAGGGAAGGGGGTAGGGGGAGCTCAGGGGTCAGGCGGGATCGAGCGGTTCATGACGACCAAGCTGTCCACGGTGGAGCTACGGCAGGCGATCGCCAAGCTGCAGGTCACATGCGACCTCCCCTTCCGCATCGTCGAGGCCGAGGCGGTGAGTGTCACATGCATGCTGTATGAGGGGATTGGACAGTTTGTGGTGGACTGTTTGGAGTTTTTATTGTACATGTGTGCCAATCCGTATCCAATCCATCCCCTTGTTGTTGAAAACCCTCTCTCTCAATGACTCCACCCCCTCCAGTTTCGGGAGCTATTGATCATGCTAAACCGCAACTGCGCGCAGAAGAACTTCATCCCCTCGCGGGTATCCCGCGACACCGTGGTCTTTGCAGCAACCGCTCTTCAGTCCGCCATTGCGGAGATGCTGGCGAAGGAGGGGGAGTTGGGGTGCAAGGTGTCGTTCACCATCAACATGTGGACGGCACCCAACAACAAGGCATGACTAGTGGTGACGGGTCACTGGATAGACGAGAACTTCCAGCTCCGCACAGCGGTGCTTGAGTTCCGCGAGATGCTCGGGCGTCATGGGGCCAAAGAGATGGCGCAAGTGGTAGAGGAGACGGTTGTGCAGTGGGGGTTGGAGGGGCGTTGTATTGGTTTCACGACAGACAACGCCTCTAGCAACATTGCCGCCTTCAGGCGGATGTCGGAGGAGGGTGGTGGTCAGTGCTTCTTCAACTCGCGCATGCACTTCCAGTAAGTGTGGGAGTATGTGTGGGTTGGGTGTATGGGAGTGCGGGTGTGTGTTTGCCTTTGTGGGTGTGTCGTTTCGGCATGGACAATATGTAGTTGTATGGGGGGGTGGGCCGGTGCGGTTCGAGTTGTAGGGTGTGTGGGGTCGGGTATGGCTTTGTGGCTCGCTCTGACCATGTGTCATCACACTTCCCTTTCTCTCTGCCACTAATGTTGTGTTCCGCGCGCAGGTGCTTGGCACACGTGATAAACCTTGCAGTGCAAGCAGCACTGTCTGTGGATTCCATACGGAAGTTGTTGAAGATACTGAGAGAGATGGCGTCGTGGATTGGCTTCTCGCCGCAGCGCTCGGGGTCTTTCTTGGGACTACAGCGGACCTTGAACACGCAGGCCAACCCCGTCAAGCCGAAGCTGGCATTGAAGCTGGTGCAGGACACTCCTACGCGCTGGGGATCGACCCACGACATGGTCGAGTGAGCGAGTGTTCTGCAGAACCCCATCACTGTCTTCTTTGCCCAGACACAGGTATGACATGTGTTGTGTGTGGGTTTTACTGTGTGGTTATGTCAGGGTGTGGTGTGTTAGCACTTTTACACATTACTGTTGGTCAAGCTTGAATGTTGCCGGATGCCAAAATCCTCCATAACCCCAGTTTCCCTCCTACTTCCCCCCAAACCAAACCCTCTACCCGACAGGGCTTGTCGAAGGCCGACAAGAAGGTGGAGAGCATGCGCCTAACATACGCAGACTGGGAGACTCTGCAGGCTGTGAAGACATTCCTCAGCCCATTCGCCAAAGTCTCAAAGGCAGCTGAGGGGGCGGCGTACCCGACAGTGGCGATGGTGGTGCCGTACTGCAACGGCCTGATCGACGCTATGGAGTCGCGCCTTGCCAAGGGGCCATCGGCTACGCTGCAGCCAATGATCGTGGCGGCGCTGGGTCACTTGAAGAAGTACGCCTACATCACCAGCAACGAGTACTGGATCGCCACCTTTTTGGACCCATCCATGAAGGCGGCGTGGTTCGATGACGCGCACTGGGAGAAGCTGCATCCCGAGACCGACTGGAGGGTGAGGCCGCGTCCCGCGTCCAGCGAGGTGGTCAAGCTGGTACGGGACTGCGTGGCCGAGTACCAGGCCCGGGCTGCAGAGCTTGCTCCCCAATATTCTGCAAGCCATAATGGATTCTTTCTCGTTAATATTTAAAATATCAGGGCCGACCCCACTTGCCCTCGTCGCGGAGGATGAGGAGGGAGACGAGGTGGATGACGACGATGACGCGCAGTTTCTCCCTAGTCGACGACGACTTGTCGCGCGTCTGTCGGCGAGCCAGGAGGCGGGGGCGAGGTGGGATGGTTCAGGATGACGAGGTTAGCAAGTACTTGTCCGAGAGGGTGCGGTGCGACGTGACAGCGCTAGAGTACTAGCGCACCGCCACCAACATGCAGACGCTTAGGCACATGGCCCGGGATTATATCGTCATCCTTGCCACGTCCGCTTCGAGCGAGCGGGTGTTCTCTCTTGGTCGCAACCTCATTTCCTGGAAGCGGCTGGCCTCTCAGAGGACGCGAGCTGTCATGATTCTCAGATCATAGTACAGTTCACACCCAAGCCAGAGGATAGGCGAGGGCCGCCGACCGAGAGGCGTCGCACCACCAGAGTTCGCTATTGAGGGCGAGGGGGCGGAGGAGGAGGAGGACGAGGAGGAGGACGAGGAGGAGGAGGAGGAGGAGGAGGAGGAGGAGGAGGAGGAGGAGGAGGAGGAGGAGGAGGAGGAGGAGGGGGAGGAGGAGGAGGAGGAGGAGGAGGAGGAGGAGGAGGAGGAGGAGGAGGAGGAGGAGGAGGAGGAGGAGGAGGAGGAGGAGGAGGGTGTGGAGGCTGACGGCGCAGCTGGTGGAGAGGGTGTGCTGTTGTTGGTAGTAGCAGTGGCGCCTTGGCGTAGAAATTTGTTTGACATTCACATTTCCCTACACAGAACATGATGTTGTAGTTGTGGGTGCGTTGCATGAACACATATACACCCTGCAAATCCTTTGCTATCATCGTGAACCCTCAAATTCGCTTTCAGACCTGTGTGACTATATTGAATTCCCCCCTGGGCGAACACGCACATGTTCACCACGAACGTGTTCGTGTTCGCCTTGTGCAGCAATTTGTTCGCCTCCTAGGGCGAACGATGAACACTTATTTTCGCCCAATTCGTTCGCCGAACCGAACAGTGTTCGGTTCGGCAGAAGGCGATGTTCGTGAGGGGGCGAACACGAACATGTTCGAGTTCGCCCCCTGCTCATCCCTAGCGGAGGGCATGGAGGGACGGAGGGGGACGGTGGGTAGGAGCATACAGCGAGCCAATAGCAGCTCCAACAATGCAATCTAAGAGGCCCCTTCCTTCGTCTGACATGCAATACCAGCACACCAATTCACCGGAATGTAGGCTCTGGGTCATTCCGAGTCCTTGGGTTGTGGCAAGTTTCCAAAGGACGAATCCAGCAGGGCCAGATTCAGTGCATGATCCACCGGCGCCCCTGCTGCTGCTGCCCTGTCTCCTCCTTGCCCCATCCTCTCACCTGAATATACTTTTCATTCACCGGTATCCTCTCACCTGAATATACTTTTCATTCACCGGTATCCTCTCACCTGAATTTCCTTTTCATTCACCGGTATCCTCTCACCTGAATATACTTTTCATTCACCGGTATCCTCTCACCTGAATATACTTTTCATTCACCGGTATCCTCTCACCTGAATATACTTTTCATTCAATGGTATCCTCTCACCTGAATATACTTTTCATTCACCGGTATCCTCTCACCTGAATATACTTTTCATTCACTGGTATCCTCTCACCTGAATATAACCACTCTTTTCATTCACCGGTATCCTCTCACCTGAATACAACCCCTCTTTTCATACGCCCATATCCTCTCACCGGAATGTAGGCCCTCGGTCGTTCCGAGTCCTTGGGCTGTGGCAAGTTTCCAAAGGAAGAATCCAGCAGGGCGAGATTCAGTGCATGATCCACCGGCGCCCCTGCTGCTGCTGCTCCTCCTCCTCCTCCTTGGCCCACCCCTCCCGCTCCCACTGCCCCCACTGCTCCCACTGCTCCCGCTCCTGCTGCTGCTCCTCCTGCTCCAGCTGCGCTTCCAGAACCAGCAGCAGCGGCTAGAGACATGGGGTCGCTAACCGGCCCTGCGTCACCCATCCCTGCACCGCCTTGCTTTCTTCCGATGACCCCTGGTGCTGAGAGCGATGCACCAGCAAAAGCACCGGCTCCGGCGGCTGTAGCAGCAGCTGTGGCGGACGAGAGGGCATTTGCAGGGAGAGAAGCGGTGATGGTTGGTGGGGCAGAGGAGGATGGTTGGGGGAAGGAGGATTGGGAGGCAGAGGGCAGCATAGAGGGGCCTACTGCCCCTGCTCCTGCCATGTGCCCCATTTGCTGCTGCTGCTGCTGCTGCTGCTGCTGCTGCTGTTGCTGCTGTTGCTGCTGTTGCTGTTGGTGTTGTTGTTGCTGCAAGCGCTGATGCTCCTGTTGCTGGAGTAGCAGAAGCAGCTGCTGCTGTTGCTGGGGATCCATGCTGCCTTCCCCAGATACGCCTGCTGCCTGCTGTTGCTGTAACTGCTGCTGCAACTGCTGCTGCTGCTGCTGTTGCTGTTGCTGTTGCTGCTGCTGTTGCTTCTCCTGCTCCAGTTGCTGCTGCTGCTGCTGCTGTGCCTCTCCAATCTTTGCCTCTTGCTGCTGCTGCTGCTGCTGCTGTTGTTGCTGCTGCTGTAGTTGCTGCTGCTGTTGTTGCTGCTGCTGTAGTTGCTGCTGCTGTAGTTGCTGCTGCTGTAGTTGCTGCTGCTGTTGCTGCTGTGACTGAGGCCCATTCATCCCCAAGCCCACCTGCCTCAGTTGTGCCTGCCCCTGCGTCTGATCCTCACTCTTTTCCTGCCCTCCACCCTGCCTTGCCTGTCCTTCTGCCCCCACCCCTGCAGCTCCTCCTGCTGATGATTGAGTTGCCAGTACTTGCTGCTGCTGCTGCTGCTGCAGTTGCATTTGTTGTTGCTGTTGCTGCTGCTGCGGAGGAAGAGGCGACTGGGACAGCTGGACGTTAGCGAGGGTATGGGCACGGTAGGGCGGAAAAGGGATGTATTGGCGCAGAGATGAAAGGTTAAAAGCGACGGCACAGGCATTGCACCCTACTGCATACTGCACTGCTCTGAATCGCAAAGCACCGCATCGCACCGAAGTAAGCCACATGTCACGGTGCAGTGTTCCATTCCTGTGTCACACAGCATCACATCTTGCAGCCACATGGGGCCTCCACATCAGAGAATACTGTGGTGCTGTGCAATGCCATGGATGAATAATCTGGTGGGATGCGGTGCAATGCGGTGCTTCGCAGCACACCGTACCATACAGCATCCTATGTCAGAAAAGAAACTCTAAGCACACAACATCACGGCCAGGGCACATAGCAAGCAACAAACATGCGAGGGAGCAGAACCAGAAAATTCTTGAGCATAAAAAAAGAAAGCACAGCACCATGCCAGGGGGCAGAACCGACTCATTTTCAGGCATGCATCAAAAGCATACCACACAGCACACCAACACAACATGCACAACATCAAATCAGGGCAAGATCGTACCACCGGATGTTGCTGCATGGCCAGCAACGGAGACGACAAGTTCCCAGCCGACGTCGAACCAGCAAGGGACGCTCCCGAACCTGCTGCCGAGCCGGCGCCAGCAGCGGCGGCAGCAGCAGCGGCAGCCATGACAGCAGCGGTGACCCCCTGCTGCTGCACCTGTTGAAACCGGGTGATGTACCTCTGCTTCTGGTCCGGCGCAATTTCAGTGCGTTGAAACTGGAAATAAGGGAGAATGGAGGACAGGGAATGGAGAAGGGGGAGAGGAAGGTTACTGGGAAGGTGCAGGGGTGGGAAGCAGTGACCCCCTGCTGCTGCACCTGCTGAAACCGGATGATGTACCTCTGCTTCTGGTCCAGAGATGTCTCCGTGCGCTGGAACTGCAGGATGGGAAATGGGGAGGGAAACGAGGAGGAGGATTAGTGGGAAGGTGCCGGGGTGGGAAGCAGCTAGAACTGGCGCCAGCCGCCAATGGGAGGGTAAACAAAAAAAAGAGCAAAGAAGAAGAGACGTAGAGAAGAGGAGCAAAGACGAGGGCTGCTGGGAAGGTGCGGAGCTGGGAAGCAAATGAAACTGGCGCCAGTGGGGAATGGGGAAGGAAGGGCAAGGAGGCACAAGGGCGAGAGGGAAGGCTTTGAATTCAAGTCGTCAGACCCGCAAAGTGTACTCCTATCTCAATCAATGCTCATTATTCCAAGCCAGGAAGCCAAGCAATGGTTCCAATCGACTTACCCCAGGAGGGAAACGGACCCCAGCAGGTAGAGAAGACAGACCCCCGGAACCATCAGCTGCAGCCACCCCTCCCTGCAGCTGCTGGAAAGCAGCTGAACTGGGAAGGCCCGGCCTCCACTGTGCCCCCACCGCATTGAACATCCTCTGCTGAGCACTCAGCACATTCGCTGCTGCTGCTCCCAGCCCTGCTCCCACCCCTCCCTGTCCCACCCCTCCCACGCTGCCAACGCCTGGCATCATCATTCCTGTGCCTGCCGAACCTGGCGGCGCCAAGCCTCCCACCGAGCCGACTCCGAGGCCTGCCGCCGAGCCTGCTGCTCCGGGAAGGCCGGATGAAAGGATGGACGCGCCTGGCGTTGCCGTTGCTGCGGTGGCGGCATCAGCAGCACCTGACGAGGCACCTGGTGCCCCACCTGCTGCGGCTGCAAACGGACGAACGAGGCCGCCCGGAGCAAGGCCAGTGGACATTACTGCACTGGACTGGGTGGGTCCAGAAGCAAGGGTAGAGGGAGGGACAGGAGAAGAGCCCACGGAGAGCAAGGGAGGTCTTGTGGCCAGTCCATTAGTGCCATTAACACCAACTACAGCTCCGTTGATACTCCCTGGGACAGACTGACTAGCAGCCACCCCGACTCCAGGCAACAACCCTGCCCCTGCTGCTGCTGCGGCTGCTTCGCCTGCTTGCTGCTGCACCCCGCCAGCTGCAGCGTGGGAGTAGCTAGGCACGGCCGAACCTGCAGGTCCGGCAGGTGCGGCTGCCCCGGAAACGGCAAACGGAGGAGGAGGAGAAGTGATGGACCTAGGTCCTGGGCCCGCAATGACAGCTCCAGCAGCAGCAGCACCAGCAGCAACAGCAGAGGCGGCAGGACCAGCAGTACCAACGCCGGGAGTGCCACCAACAATCGACGCCAAACTCGCCCCTTTCTTCCCTGACTTTGCAGCTGCTGAAGCCGAAGCTGCACTGGCTGCCGGACCTCCTGCCGAGCCTGAAGCCATGGCTCCTGCCGTCCCATTGGAAGAGCCAAGATCTCCAGACCTGCTATGCCGCCCTGCCACTCCTCCTGCGACTTCCCCTATTCCCGGACCCACTCTTTTACCCCCCACACTTGCCATACCATGCCCTGACCCTCCTGCCCCTTCCTCTCCCCCCACACCTCCTTCCTTCGCCCCTACTCGCCCACCGCTGGTAACCGTAACCGTGCTTGCAGTAGCAGGCGCTGCTGCTACCACTCCTGCTCCCGCTACAGGTGTTACCACTGCTGCTGCAGCAGGTGTCACGGCTCTGACTGTAGCAGCAGCAGCAGCAGCACGGCCGGCTGTAGCACGGGAGGAGGCAGCAGAGGAGGTGGTGATGGTGGCGGGGAGGGGGGCGGCTGTAGCGGCGGCGGCGGCGGCAGCAGCAGCAGCGCGGGAGGAGCTATGAGTGGAGGAGGAGTCATCTGTAGCGACAGAGTCAGATGTGTCTGACGAGACAGAGGGGGGTGAGGGATGCGCGAGTGTTCCGGATGGTCCCGATTTCTGTGGATTGTTGGGGAGAGGAAAATGCCCGCAGGGGAGGGGGATGGGGAAGAAAAGAAAGGGGAAGGGGCAGGGTTAAGGGCGGGCACGGGGGTGGAGATTGGAAAATGAGCAAAAAAAATATGGGAAGGAGGTCTGGGAGTTATGATTGGAAGAATGATCTGTAGCGGCAGAGTCGGATCGGAAGAGACATATGGGGGTGAGGGATGCGCGAGTGCTCTTGCTGCTCCGTAAATTCGTGGATTGTCGGGGAGAGAGACAAGCAGGCAGGGAAGGAGGAGAAAGGGAGAAAGGAACGGGAAGGCGGATGGGGGGGTGGGGAGGAGAGGGGAGAGGGGAGGCAGTTTTGAGAGACAGGGAGAAAAAGGCTTTGGGAAAAGTGCAATGCGTTGTAGGAAGGTGCAGAAAGGTGCGGTAAGATTCATCAAACAAGTACCGGCAGGGAGGAGGCGGTGAGGATGGACTTGGGGAGTGCAAGCCCCGAGGCAGCAGCGACAGCAGCCTTCTCCTTGACCACAATGGCCTGCGGCACGATGGGCACGGACTCCAGCGACTCGAGTGCGTCCATCTTCTCCAGAGGCAGCGACTCATACAGATCGTCCGGCTCACAGAACTCCTCAAAGTCGTCCTGCCGGCATCGAGAGGAAGGGGTGCGGTGGGTGACGGGAGGGGGGGGGGGGGAGGTGTGCAGGAAGGGGGGCAAGTGGGGAACGGGGAGGGGCGGTGGGGGGGGAGAGGAGGGGGAGAAGGTGAGTGGAATATGTGAGAAAAGATGGGGTGGGGAGATGTGGTATGTGGCAGCACGATGGGTACCGACTCGAGCGACTTGAGTGCGCCCATCTTCGTCCATCTTCGTCTGACTCATACAGATCGTCCGGCTCACAGATCTCCTCAAAGTCGTCCTCCTCGTCGTGAGAGGACAGGGGGGAGGAGGATGGTGGGGAGGCGGAGAGGTGCGGAGGACAGGAGGGAAGTGGGGAGCGGGGAGTGCCGGGAGGGGGGGTTGGAGGGGGAGTGGAGGGGGAGAGGGTGGAGAGGGGAGATTGCCTTGGTTATGTGAGAAGGGGAAGGGGGCACGACGGGCACGGACTCGAGTGACTGGACGGGAAGCGACTATGGAGAGGAGGGACGTGCCCAAGTCCATCTTCTCTAGAGGCAGCAACTCATACAGATCGTCCGGCTCACAGAACTCCTCAAAGTCGTCCTGCTCGCCATGGGAGGAGGGACGCAGGGCGAATGGGGAGGGAGGGGAAGGAGGGGTGGGGAGGTTGGGACGGGAGGGTGGAAGGTGGATGAGAAGTTTTTTTTTTTTTTTTTGAGCGCCAAAAAAAGGAGGGAACCAGGTGTAGGGCACGACAGGTATCATTCAAAACGAGCCCATCCCTCCTAGCCCCCCACCCCCTTCCTCATCCGATTCCCCACCAGCTCTTTCACCAGCTCCTCACCTGGTTCTACTCAACGTAGTCCTCTACGAGGTCTTTCACGCCTGTGACCTGCTCGGGTCTCAAATCATGATTGTCCATCAGCCGCAGAATCATCTCTCTCCCTTACCCTAAGCCACCAACACCAATCCCCCCCCTCCTCCCTCTATTTCCCTCCGTCTCCATCCTCCCTCCACCATACACACCTGGTTCCTCTCGACATAATCTTCCACGAGGTCCTTCACGTCTGTGACCTGCTCGGGGCTCAGCTCGCCGTTGTCCATCAGCCGCAGAATCATTTCCCTCCCTCACCCTACACCTCCGCACAATCATAACCCTAGACCTCCGACAACAATTTCTCCCATCCCTCCTTCCATCTCCCTCCCCCTGCCCCATAATCACCTGGTTCCTCTCAACGTAATCCTCCACAAGGTCCTTCACGTCTGTGACCTGCTCGGGGCTCAGCTCATCGTTGTCCATCAGCCGCAGAATCATCTCCAGGCGTGTGATGTGCGCCTTGTGCCGCGTGATCGACTCCTCCAGATGCATCTGCGGCAGGTGGGTGAGTGGAGTAGAGGAGATGTGAATTGGTGCACTCAGAGGAAACAAGGGCATCTCCCGGGTGCATCTGCCGTGGTGGGAAGGGGTGGGTAGGGGTGAGAAGGGGTGGGTGGGAGTGGGGGAGTGCGAAGTTGGGTAAGTGCACTCAGACGGGTGAGAATCATTTCGAGGTGAATAATGTGCGCCTTGTGCCGCGCAGAAGACAGACAGGAGGAGGGGGGAGCGGGTGGAAATGGGGGGAGAAGTTGGGGAAGAGAAGGCTGGGTAAGTGCAATCAGACGAACGTAGGTTGAGTACTCAAAGGGAACAGAAATAGTAGTAGTACCTACCAGACCCAAAGGCCATTGCTTACCAGGCGTGGCGGGCGCTGCTTGCCCCTCTTGACTTGCAGCCCCTCCATTTCGCTCTCGAACCCGTCAATCTGCGACTCCAGCTCGCTCACCTGGCGGCGGACCAAGGGGCACAGGGAGGGTGGGAGTGGAACGAAGGGAGGGAAGGGGGGTGAAGGATGATACAGGCGATTGGAGATGAGGGAGTGAGAAAACGGAACAGTCCGGAACACGTGCGGGAATGATAGAATGGTCGAAAGGAGCAGCTGAGTATAACAGTCGTATAGAAGAGCAACGCACGGCAGAGGACAAATCACGCCAGCCTTACCATCTGATTCAACCAATCACGAGACTCCGATTTGGCCTTTTCCCTCGGGTCCTGCAGGACAACACCAGACAGAATCAGAGCGCAACCAGTAGAGAACCGCACGCCTAACAACAGAAGAACAGGGGTGCAGGACTGCACAGCACAGAGAGAGAGGTGTTTCAGTGTACCGTCTTTGGCTGTTGGCCGAGCCCCTCTTTACTGAAGGCTTTCGTTTTGGTCTCTTTCTCGCACACTTTGAACCGCTCCATCTCCCGCTCTATCAGCTTCCTCGCATCCAGCAACGCCTGCCAGCCAGGGGAAGCCGGCGGATGGGGCAGGAGAAGGGGGGGAGGGAGGGAGGGGGGGGGGGAAGAGTGCGGGGAGGAGAGGGGGGGGAGGACACTGAAACACTTATTTGTTTCTCGCACACTTTGAACCGCTCCATCTCCCGTTCTATCAGCTTCCTCGCATCCAGCAACGCCTGCCAGCCAGGAAAAGCCGGGGAAAGGGGAAAGAAAGGGGGGAGAGTGCAGGGAGGAGGGGGAACATAACATTAAACACTGATATCGTTCTTGTAGACTTTGAACCGCTCCATCTCCCGCTCTATCAGCTTCCTCACATCCAGCAGCGCCTGCCAGCCAGGGAAGGTAAAAAGAGGGGGGAGGCAGGAAAAGGGTTAGATTGCGAGGGGTTGGGGGAGAGGGACGAAGATTGGGGGGTGGGAGGAGGGGGGATACTGAACACTGGTTCCTGATCCAAACTCTTGCTCAAACAGTTATATGGCTCCCATTAGAGGGTTTATGGGTGTACGAAACGTAACAGGTCGTTCGAAACAGAAGCACTCTCAATATCGATCAACAGCACAGTCAGTTCCTGTATCTTCGTTTCATGATGACGAGATTGAGGCAGTAAGCGAGGATGCGTGATAATGGATGATAAACCAGACTTGCAGCAAGCGGACTCTACGAGGAAGCGCATGAGCGGAGAGCAGGAGGCACGAGCGGTACAACAGGGCAGCGGAGGACGAGTGGTAGAGCTCACCTTCTTGTCTTTGATTTCGCTGGACTGGATCCATGTCTTGATCTGGTCGCGGTACCGCTGCAGCTTCTTGATCTCCTTCTTCAGGTCCGCCTCGAACTTCTCCTTCTGATTCAGATTCTCCGTGTCGTACACCTGAGACGATACAAGACATGACACACGAACAGGTGAGTCTCAAGTCGATCTAAGATTCTTCTCTTTCTTCTGGTTCAGGTTCTCCGTGTCGTACACCTGAGACAAGACAAGACATGACACACGAACAGGTGAGTCTCAAGTCGATCTAAGATTCTTCTCTTTCTTCTGGTTCAAGTTCTCCATGTCGTACACCTGAGACAAGACAAGACATGACACGGAGGAGAGGCGAAAGGGGAGCGACGGTGAGTCTTGAAACGTCTTGGAAAGAGCAGGGAATCTCCGCGCACTTTTCCGAGCCAACGCCAGCACGAAGCAAGAAATTCCGGCGATGGTGGAAGAGACACGGAGCTACCGGCATTTGCCATTTCAGGCATTTCCTTCCAGCATCCCTTCAAGCACGGTAACGTCAAAAGGACGACCAGAGTCATGCGGAATGATTCACGTGCAGGTTATACTTGACCAGAGTCATTGAGTCGATATTGTTCGACCACCGCATAACCTACGATAGTATCTCGGTCGACCGCACCGAGACCCTAAAAGAGACAGATGGCTCTGGGACAGCCAGCTAAGTGGCTCCGGTAAGACCAATGACCGTGCTCGAAAACGACAGGCGAATGATTATTTCGTATGAGGACAACAGCGGTGAAGATGTTACGAAGATCCGAGGGTGTGATATGCTCGTCCCGTGTACCTTATTCCATATGCCGTCGAATATTTCTACCCCTTCTTGGACCTTCTTAAGCACCCGGTCGATCTCTCCTTGAAGCTTCCTTGTCGCTCCCATGACGAGAAACAAACTCTGTCAATAGACTACGTTAGGAGGCTCCGTCAATGACCTGTTACAAAACTCTGTCGAAAGTAAATCTCGTCAGTCGACGGAATCTACAAAGTCGGTTAGCAGGCTCGGTGGACTTATTTAAAGTAAGATAAGTATAGTACGCCTTTTTCCTGGGAAAAGCCTAAGTTTTTCCCGTGCGTGATAACAGCGGCGTATCAGGCGTACAACGTGCCTGGTTTGCTACCAAGATGGAAGCACAGGAACGAGTACCACCCAAACAAGCTTTCTAAAACCAAGACTCCGGCTGCGCGTAGAAACATAACACCCGAGTCACCAGTTGAACACCAAGGGTCCAACCCTAAATACTTGTTATCGCTGCAGTTTATTTACTTGTCAGCAGGAGCATCTGCTTGGCTTTCATGACCAGAGGTATCATGTCAGGGATCAGGGAGGTTTTGACAGAAGGCGGGACGGAAATTTGCAACAGGTGGGGTGAGGTGCGAAAGAGCCTCGGAATTGACGTGAGGATCCGAATCCGACGGAGATGGTTGTACGTGACAGAAACGAAAGCACAGATGCGTTCCTGCTGTACGCATTAGAAAGGGATGCACTATGAAACCAGGAATACATTCGCAGTGGCATACATGCCCTAAATCCATGGAAGTGATGCACTACGAAAGTGGTACCAATAAGGATGTGTTTGTTGACTGGCCCATCTATGTCGATATACAGCATAATGTTTTCATAAAGGTTATTATAAATCAGGAGTACAGCGCCTCCAGCAATATTCGACAAGCCTTATACACCATCCCAATAATGCCCCTACTAATCTCATTAAACTACTCCAATAGCACGCCCATATCATTGTCCCTGCCTTCTCAATTACCGTACTAGGCACTACCGCGCCCCTAAACTAGCTCTTAGCCAGAATGGTTGTCAGAATCCTAAGCTTTAGCGCAGTAAGTTGCAGCGCAGTCTTCTAGCAGCCATCCCCACTTACTGGTTGAAGTTAGCAGCACCAACAAACCAACCTATTGTCCAATAGGGCCGGCACGATTGGTAGCACGTGGCACCTCTAGAGCACTTAGTGCTTTGTAGGAGTACGAAGGTTTATATCCCGGCGACCCACTCTTGGTGAAGAACGCCCCGTTCTCGAAGTGGTCACCAACAGACTGCCAGTCCCAACTCATGTAAGTGGACTGCCCTGCTGCTATGTTGTGCTTCGTCACCTGAACAGAGATACAGCAGAGAGCACCGCACAGCAGATAACAGGCACACAGTAGTGTCAAGAAACATGGCAGGGGGAGCCTCAGGAGTTGGGATCATCAAGCATGCTCAAGCATGGTGTAAAGAGCCACCTACCTCCTTGAGAAACGGCTTGTCATTGGCCACGAAATAGTTCCCCTCGCTCAGAAACGTCGGGTCCGCGCTGCCACCAATGGCATAGATGTTCCACCCGTTCGGGTAATAGTTGTTCAACACGTGGAACTGCCCAAACCTGCCCCGAGGCAGGCGCTCCGACAGATTTGGGCCAAACTTGTTCAGCATGACAGTTACACGCATGTTACGGTCGGCACTGTACGTGTCATCATGTCCCATCAAGATGACCTGGGAAATAGAGGGGAGGGGGTAGGGAAGGGAGTGGGGACATAAAAATGAGGGGATGGAAGGGAGGGAGGAAGCTAATGTGATTGTCATCCGCATTTGTCCCCTAGGTCAGTGTAATTATTTCAACAATCCCTGATTTGTGGAGCAGTTGGAGACGGTGATGGCACTGCTGGCCGCGACAATATCAATGTGGGTGTGGTCGGCATTCTTCCCCTTTCTAACCCACCTCAACCCCCCCAGTTCTTTCAACAATTTCCGCACGCACCTTATCCTGATTTGTAAAGAAACAGTTGGAGACGGTGATGGCAGTGCTTGCCGCGACAATATCAATGTGGGTGTCGTCCGCGTAGTCAAACGAGCAGTGGTCCACCCACACGTGGTGCGACGCGTAGATGTACAGTCCGTACCCGTTAAGGTAATTCCGCCCGCCCACTGTATTGTCCGGGCCCGTGGTCAGCGATATAGCACCGCTGTTCGCAATGACGGAAGGGGGGGCGATCATAGAGAAAGCGAGGGTGATCGCTATCGGTGCTCTCAGCCCTTCTCAAACAGCAGGAACGAAGCCACAGCTGGGGAAAAGAGCTGGCAAGTTATGCGGAATGGAGGGAACGGCGGGGCTATGATACGTACACACGGTTCTTGCAGTTCTTGAACGCCATGCCGTGCACGATGACGTTGTGCGAAAACTCCACGGCCATGCATGGCCCGTTACCCATCGTCACTTTTCGCCCGCGCGCGTCCACCGTCTTGTCGTTATACACGATGATTTCCGCCTCCAACCCGGTAAAGTCAAAGTCTTCATCGAACACAATCCACAGCGGCTCGGCCCGGGTTGCGCCGTATCGCAGTGTGCCAGGCTTGGGGTTGATCCGATCATCCTGATTCGACGTCACGTGGTAAATGCGGCCCTTCGCGCCGCCAGTGGTTCCCGTCGCGTAGCCCTCGACGCAGCTCGCCAATTTCGTCGGAGTGGCTTGCCAATTGGGACCCATCCAGCAGTCGTCGATCGGGTTACCATACGGCAGCCACTGCATTATCCCCTGCGCAACGTCATTGTGTCCCAACCATCCGATATCGCCATTTTTCTTCGCAGGCGCCTTGGAAGAACTCCCGCTCTTTCGCGAACCGCTTCGCGAGCCTTGCCCACTTCGCGAACCACTTCTCCTGGCGCCCCGCTTGTACTTGTGCCCCCCCTTTACGCGGTTGTTCGTGGTTGGGGCATTCTTGTATTTGTGCCCTCCCTTTTTGCGGTTCGTTGTGGCTGGGGTGTCTTTCCACTTGTGCCCTCCCTTTTTCCTCCCAGTCGATGTCGTTCTCTTTCCTGACGAGCTCGATTTCCCTCCGGAAGAGCTCGATTTCTTCCCGCTCGTACTCGAGGGGCGCACGGATTTCGACCCGCCAGCCAGAAGAGCATTTTGCCCGAGGCTTATCTGCGGTAGGGCGAGCCGTATTTGCTGTGCCGCGCTCGCCGGGACGCGCCCCGCGCATGCCTGCAACCACCGCGGAGGCGCATGTATCAATCAACAAAAAAATTCCGCCACGGGAACTCTGGACGAGAACCAAAGGTCCCAGACGAACAACTCTATTTGCCGGCACTTACGTGTGCGAGAGACCCCGCCAGCTTGGTCTGCGCCACGGCTTCCCCTGGCCACCCCGACTTCACGAGGCTGTCCGCCATCTGCAGCGCGCGGCACGCGCGCGTTAGCGTTGCGCCGCACGCCGTGGTTCGACTCATGTACTGCGCGATCAGGAGACTGTGCCACGCGGACGCGAGTGGGTTTAGCGCGGAGCTGGCACTGCGGAGGGTTGGGAAGTAGGGGGGAAAGCGGAAGGGGGAGACGCGGGGCGGAGCGACTGGGGATGATATGTGGAGTCAGTGCCGGCGATTGGGCGCAGCGAGAAGAACGATTGTGCTTTGTTGGACTTGACTAAAAAGAAGCAAACGCGAAAGTCGTAATGGTGGGTATGCACCCTATACTCGATATTGTGCTGATACTCACGCAAGGCTCCGGCGCAAACCGCCCTCTGCATCTCCTTCCTCTGAAACGCGCTCGCCGGCCTCGGACGAGCTCGTCGCTGGCGTGGGCTCGGCCTCTGCAGCGGCACTAGCGGCGGCTTTCGCGGCGGCCTCCAGCTCCATCAGCGACATCCCACCCCAGCCCTCGTACGGCTGAGACTCGTTAATTGCCACGCCTGTGGCCTCGCCGACATAATTGGCGGTGACAGGTACGTTTGTCGTTGAAGCGCCATGCGTGAAGCAGTATACCACCAGGAGCAGTAGTATAGGTATTAGCGCCGGGAGGCCGGATGTCCCCATTGGGAACCAAACGATCGCACTGCGCAGCCGTGCATAGAGGTAATCTACCGAGACTGCCCTGCCCTTCCTCCAACCAACCAGAGTCCACAGCCTATCATCCAGCCCGCGAGGCCGCACCAGCACCCAGGGCTGAACCAGCCCAACAAAGCCCGCCCCCCAGCACAAGCACTTGGCCAAACCCAGGCCAAGGCGACCGCATGCAGGAGCAAAGAAGCATCGCTTCAGCCCCTATCACGACGGTGCGGCTCGAAGGGATAAATTTTTACAGAATGGCGAGGGTGAAATGCGGGGGTCTTATTTGTGATTGGCTGACCGCCTCTCGATGTTGCACTACCTCGATAATGCTGCATCTCATTGTGATTCAATTTACTTGAAACGGACGCGATCCGCCGTGGATGAAGGGATCGAGCCGCCCAGGCGAAGCCGACTCCGCTGGGACCTTCAAACGAGAATCGTCAGAAAAGAGAGCGAGAGTTACGCTGTCGCGAACAATAGTAACGCGTTTATGTTACATCCAGAAATCTACCCAGTTTCTCATATACAGACAGAAAACTGTAAAAGCAGTTAATCTTCCTAGCCTAACGCTCCAATGTGACCTTTTAATGCAAATTTGACAAGCTGGAAAGGATCATCTCGTACTAAAGCACAAGAACAGTTTAATAATACTCAGCTCCTGAAAATACGAGACACTGGATCATAGCTGTTACCAACATAGCCGGACGAAGAGCACCAAGCCTCTACGTAGGCCTTCTGATTTGGTTTTAGGATTGCCAAAGTTCAACTCGAGAGAGGTCAACATAATGTTAAAATAAAACCATCCGAAGTGACGCAGACTTCACACTTGCAACAAGGCCACCTGAATTCTCCTGTAAGCCTGCTCCCTGGTATCTGCTAAGCTGAAAAACACCTTATTCATATCGGATCTGACCATCTGAAATCCTCATGCAGAGTTCACACTTGCGACAAGGCCATCTGGATTCTCCTGTACGCCTCCTGCCTGACCCCTGCTAAGTTGGCTGTTATCTCCTTCGATATTCGCCCCTCCACCAGGGCCACAGGCAGCCAGAAATGCGGGGTCAGC